GCTTGTTCAGTGGGAGAAGCTTCAGAGCTGACGTGTGTGTGTGACCCCAGCTCTGCCCCCGAACCGAGAAGAAACCTCAGCTAACCTCCAGTATACGCCAGAGACTTGGTAAATAGTCACATTTATGAGGTTCTTACATCAGGAAACGACTCCTCTCGCCACACACACAGAAGCACCTGTGTGCACAGAGTTAGGTGTCTTGCCCAAGGATACAACATTATGATTCCTCTGCTGATCTTTCACACCGGCCAACTTGTACCAGATCACTCGTTCTGACTCGTTTGTCGGGTGCAAGATTCGAACAGTCAACCCAACAGACCCACCCAAATGGTTTTCTCGCTGCCCGAACCCCAGAAAGTACAAGACACTGGCAACAAAGGCTTAAGCTCTGCGTCTTTACGGCTTTGGAAGTACTTTATAAAGACATACACAGAAATGCATTTGCTTCTGGTGTGCAGTAAGCTAAGGAGGATCTGTGTTATGTGTGTGCATTAGAGTGAGCCTCTGTCTGATCTGACCACGACTTTGATAGAAACCAAACGTGTGATAGTGTGTGTTTGTGTGTGTCTAAAGTGGCATCAAAGAGAAAGGTCTTTGCTCGCTCCAGGTTACACAGGCTGAGCTCATAAAACACGTCTGATGTGCATCCCACTCTAGACATAACTGTGTGTTTGCATATTAGTCGGTTGTGCGTCCCAGTGTGCATTCTACATACCAGCTCAAAGTTCAGGAGATGTGTGCGCTCCGGCTCCGCGCTAAGCCTTTCCCAGAATGACTGTTGCCAGGCAGAGAAATTACCCAACAGGTCACTAATGGTCCTCAATGACAAACTGGTTCGTAATCATTCAGGGCTCAGTCTAAACACAATGTGACGTCTTTGCTTCAAAAACCTTGGAACGGCATCGACAGTTCCTTGAACACGTTGCATGGACTATTTCACTTGTCTCGTTAAAAATCACACACCTCAGATATGAGTTTTATGTGAAAGAAGTGACAGACGGTAGTGAAGTGAAGGCAAAATGATACATATATTTATTATTTTATAGAATAATTGAAAGGTCTGAGAAAACTGAATACTTAAGCAACACACTTTCATGTGTGTGTGTTGAAATCATGAATAATTTTGTTTTAGGTCCAAAATGGTTTTCTTTGTTGTGTTGGTCTTTTCACAAGCAAAAGCACTGGATTAGATTGTTTTTTTTTCTGAACAAACTTCTGCACATTTAGACTTAGCCGTGATCCTAGTACAATCACCAGAGTCACTTAAATATGTTGTGTATTTTGCTTCTTACGGAGCCACTCCTTCGTTGCCCGGGCGGTGTGTTTGGGATCATTGTCTGGAAGACCCAGCCACGTTTCATCTTCAAAGCTCTCACTGATGGAACATGAATAAAGAATCTCTTAAAGCTCAGTTAAGTTGATTACACTGAACTGACTCACACTCAGGGCTTGGCCTGTTTTGCTTTGAGGATCTCAGAGTATGTGTAGAATGTGATTCTGCTGCCACCAATGAAGCTACAACAGATGTTACATAATACTGATGACTTCCTGGTGAACAGTGATTGGAACAGCATCATTTAAAGCTCAGGAGTGTTTGATGTGTGTGACCAAACTACTACTAACTACTACTTCTACTTCTACAACTACTACCTTCATATCATTGAGCCGTTATTGAAAAGTATAATGAAAATGTTACTGTCATTTCACCGTCAATGGAATCGTAGCGGACCTAAATGTAGAAGGATTTATGTGGCGCATTCTCAGAACCCATCCACCATGACTGAACTAGAGATGTTCTGCAAATAAGAATGGTCCAGAATCCAGACTCATTTGGAAGAATTTAGAGGCCGTTATTTCTGCAAAAGAAGGATGTAGAAAATATTTAGTCGATTCTTTTTTTGTGGTGCCTAATGTTGTTTAAATAAGTCGTGGTGTATCATCTGACACCAAATGTTGTGTCTAATCCATCGGCAGAGCACGTCTCAAGCCCTGGAGTCTCACACTTAACAGAACCGATTAAGCCTCAGTTCGTCTGAAGCATTAATTTACAAATAAATTCTTAAAAAATCCTACAATGTGAATTCCTGGCTTTTCTTTTTTTTAAGTGGAGAACTTGCACAATTGGTAGCTGACTAAATACTTTTTTGCCCCACTGTATATGTTTTCAGCTTGAGGGTATGAGACCAAGTGACCCCGTAAAGTGGCGGTGGACACATGCGGCTCTGAAATGATCGGGACTCGGATTACCATTAAGTCTAATCTTTACAACACTGACTGAATCTTGGTCGACATTCATAGGAATTTCCCGTCATTCCCAAATCACCAGTGGCCTCTAACCTCCCTGTGATTCTGCATGAGTTCCTTTGCTCTTGTATTGAAATGATACAGAAAGTGGTGGCCCTAAACGGCGGCGTGCAGACAGCCCCAGCTCTGGTTAGTGGCGTCCTCTGATTGTGTGGGAGCAGCTGTTCTGTGTTCGCTAAACGCCACATTCACGTTCTCCTTTTGTAGTTTCTGTTGCTCGCAGCTTTTCTGGATTCGTAAATTGCTCTCTTGACCTCGTCGCGTGCGCACACTTTTGACAGCCCTGGCCTCTGACAAGTTTTATGTATTAGGCTAGCCGTTGTATTTCGGGATGGCACGCAATTCCAAACGCAATTATGCGCGTCTGTTTTTGGTTTCGTGAAAAAAAAAAGGTTACGAATCGTGTTCTTACTGCACTAAAGTGTCTGACTTGCAAACATTATCACACAACAAACACCACTTTCTTAAAGGAGCTAGGGAGTAAAAATAAAAAAAAAATGTTAAAGCAAAAGTATGCATGGGGAAAGCGATACACTGCAAAAAAAACTCTATAATGTGAGGTAATAATTGTTTGAATAGAGTGGTTTTTATCTTAATTTGTGCACTTAAAACCATATTTTGACAATGGGACAAAGTCATTTAATCTCATTTCAAGAACTATAGCTTTATTTTATTATTTCAAGGCAGACATTTCTTGTAACGTCACAATTTTGCTTTGTCCCATTGGCAAGTCTTGTTTTAAGGCAGTCAGAATGTGCTCAAATTAAGATACATTTTTGCCACATTTTCGCCATTTTTGTAGGTAGGTAAAAACATGTGATTAGAAATGAGATTGAGTTGCTCTTATTTCTAACAGGAAAAGTCTGGTGTCTCTTAATGCTCCTTTTGATTGCTCCTCCTGCTCCTTTAATCACGCGGCCTGGTATGTCCTCCCTCCCTCAGGACGTCCCAGATCTGACAACAGTTTGGCAACACCCCATTCAGGAAGCCCATCCCTCCCTCACCATGAGCCATTACATTACCACTGGACTCGCACAAGCACATGCCACCCACTTCCAGCGCGCATACTTGTCTTTTTCCGGAAACATTCATTAGACTAATATGACACCGGCAAACTTCCAGTCAGCACGTAATATCATACCAGTGTCCATCCGTATTAATTACATGTCCTCATTAACATACATTGCAGCTTTCAGGCAGTCCATCATTACTGCTTCTGGCCATAGAGCTTAGAGTCGCAAAAGGCAGATTTTTTTATTTTTGTGTGTGTGAAATAGATATAGATTTATTATGGGATTTTACTGTGACATTTACAGATGTATTGCGCAATTTTATTATTGTGTGTTATACCTGCCAAAAATGATAATGTGTGTCATGTATAATAGAAAAAACTAACCTCTCCATACTTTCGAATCCCGGGTTCGAATCCCGGTTGGAACAGGGCCTTCCTGTGTGGAGTTTGCATGTTCTTCCCGTGTCTGGGTAGGTTTCCTCTGGGTGCTCCGGTTTCCTCTACCTCTTTAAAAAAATGTACCATAGGCATGAATGTAGATGAGAGTGTGAATGGATGGTGTTGGATGGGGCTTTGATGTTCCAGTCCAGTGTGTTCGGCGTCTCGCTTCCGTCATCACCGTGTGGAGAGAATGGTACAATATCTGAACTCTGAATATTTTTAAGCACTTTGGGTGACCTTGGTCTGTAAAAATGCGCCAAAAATAGTGTTTTATGAATACTGGTATAGATGTGTAGACTTTATTAGGGTGTTGTGATTTAGGGAGATTTTATAAGCGACTCCCATTAGAACTACTCTTCTGTTCTATTTTTTAAGAGTTGTTGACATAAACTTAAAGGTATATAGGAGGATTTTCTACGTCCGGGTGGATCATCAAGACTATTGGTCAGCCCAATGTTCAATCATTCAGGTGATACGTGCTCGTCAAATAAAACCAGAGAGTTTTGTTCAAAAAGTGGAGAGGGCGGTTCTTTCCTAAATATTTGGTAAAATCCTCCTATATACCTAAAGCAGAGCTCTCCAACCTGTAGCACGGGAGCTACCAGTAGCTCGCCAGTCCCTTTTCAGGTAGCTTCCAAGGATTTATCTTGAATGATTCACTTTTGAGTCATTACACATCTATTTTAAGTATAAATATAGGGTTATACTGTATTATGGTTTTTTCACATTTGTTTCCCATGTTTTGTCAAAATTATTACATACATTTTTCTATGACTCAAAAAATAAGTAGCTCTCTGCCTCTTCTGTTGCATAAAAGTAGCTCTCTGATTGAAAAAGGTTGGAGACCCCTGACCTAAAGAATCAATCCAAACCATTATTTCCTTAAGCCTTAGTGTAACATTTAACAAGTTTATCAATTCAAGCCACTTCATACTGTCCTGACCCCGCAGACAAATGACGTCACCTTTAAAAACTCAATTTGTATTGTCTCCGCAGGGCGTTCAAACATTCGCACCCGGCTGTACATTGCATTCTCTGTTTCCGCCTCCTCGGGGTAGTTTGAAAAATTTCCTCCTTTCACAGTGCTTCTTTGAATAACCCTTACAGATTCACAAACGTTTTATAACCGTCAAGAAATTGCATTTTTTTTCTCTATTTTGAAAGAAGGCAAAAAAAGCTTAAAGTTGTGATTGTTGTGAAAGAGGACCTGCCGATATTGAATGCAGTGTGATTGTTCTCACAGGTGCACAGTCTGGACCCAGGCAGAAGGGAGCCGTACCTGACTCATCCGGCCCAAAAGCTGCTGCTATTTCCTGGACCAGAGCGGCACCGACACGATGCTGCTCCTGGGGCCTCTCGTCTCACAAGGTTTGACTGCACACTATGTACCAAGCATTACCAGGCACCACAACGCACATATACATTACTGTCTTAACTCTTTAGGCGCCAAAATAGTCAAATCTCGAATCCAGGACACTTTATACAAAAAAACTGGCCTCACACAAGAGCAGAAAAAAGATACACATTTCACACATCTACAAACTTACATCAATGATACATATAGACATACAATGAGATATATAGACAGGCAGACAGACAGGTAGACGCACAGGTACAGGCAGACAGACAGGTAGACGCACAGGTACAGGCAGACATACAGGTAGACGCACAGGTACAGGCAGACATACAGGTAGACCCACAGGTACAGGCAGACATACAGGTAGACCCACAGGTACAGGCACACATACAGGTAGACGCACAGGTACAGGCAGACATACAGGTAGACGCACAGGTACAGGCAGACATACGGGTAGACCCACAGGTACAGGCAGACATACGGGTAGACCCACAGGTACAGGCAGACATACAGGCAGACGCACAGGTACAGGCAGACATACAGGTAGACGCACAGGTACAGGCAGACACAGGTAGACGCACAGGTACAGGCAGACATACAGGTAGACGCACAGGTACAGGCAGACATACAGGTAGACGCACAGGTACAGGCAGACATACAGGTAGACGCACAGGTACAGGCAGACATACAAGTAGACCCACAGGTACAGGCACACATACAGGTAGACGCACAGGTACAGGCAGACATACAGGTAGACGCACAGGTACAAGCAGACATACGGGTAGACCCACAGGTACAGGCAGACATACAGGTAGACGCACAGGTACAGGTAGACATACAGGTAGACGCACAGGTACAGGCAGACATACAGGTAGACGCACAGGTACAGGCACACATACAGGTAGACGCACAGGTACAGGCAGACATACAGGTAGACGCACAGGTACAAGCAGACATACGGGTAGACCCACAGGTACAGGCAGACATACAGGTAGACGCACAGGTACAGGCAGACATACAGGTAGACGCACAGGTACAGGCAGACATACAGGTAGACGCACAGGTACAGGCAGACATACAGGTAGACGCACAGGTACAGGTAGACGCACAGGTACAAGCAGACATACGGGTAGACCCACAGGTACAAGCAGACATACGGGTAGACCCACAGGTACAGGCAGACATACAGGTAGACGCACAGGTACAGGCAGACATACAGGTAGACGCACAGGTACAGGCAGACATACAGGTAGACGCACAGGTACAGGCAGACATACAGGTAGACGCACAGGTACAGGCAGACATACAGGCAGACGCACAGGTACAGGCAGACATACAGGTAGACGTACGGCAGACATACAGGTAGACGCACAGGTACAGGCAGACATACAGGTAGACGCACAGGTACAGGCAGACATACAGGTAGACGCACAGGTACAGGCAGACATACAGGTAGACGCACAGGTACAGGCAGACATACAGGTAGACGCACAGGTACAGGCAGACATACAGGTAGACGCACAGGTACAGGCAGACATACAGGTAGACGCACAGGTACAGGCAGACATACAGGTAGACCCACAGGTACAGGCAGACAAACAGGTAGACCCACAGGTACAGGCAGACATACAGGTAGACGCACAGGTACAGGCAGACATACAGGTAGACACAGGGACTGGACTCCTGTTAGTGCCCAGAGTCAGAACTAAACATGGGGAGGCTGCTTTTCAGATCCATGCTGCTAAAATCTGGAACATTCTTCCTGAAGATGTGAGACAGGCCTCCTCTCTGACAATGTTTAAAACCAGGTTAAAAACGGTGCTGTTTAGCTGTGCATACAACTGAGGGATTTTATATTTTTATCTTTCTTTTTAATGTTCTGTGATCATTTATGATTTTAATGCTATCTTGTTCAGCACTTTGAGTTGCCTTGTGTATGAATTGTGCTATACAAATAAACTTGCCTTGCCTTGCCTTGCCTTGCCTAGACCCACAGGTACAGGCAGACGCACAGGTACAGGCAGACATACAGGTAGACGCACAGGTACAGGCAGACATACAGGCAGACGCACAGGTACAGGCAGACATACAGGTAGACCCACAGGTACAGGCAGACATACAGGTAGACCCACAGGTACAGGCAGACAAACAAATATGCATAGACGGCAAAAGGGTAGAAGGGAGGGGGAAGTTAGTCAGCAGTGATTACAGATGACTCAAAAGATAGGGAGAAAGGAAACGTATATGAATGATAATAACAATAATTGATTAATCGATACAAACAAATAATAAAACATATTTTCTTTACCTCTGTTGTTGATTTGAGTAGTTCTCTCTCTTTCAAAGTTTCATGACTCCACTATTTTTGTCACATTCAATTCAAGAAAAACACTGGCGCTTAAAGGGTTAAATGTGCAGATCAATCCTAGTGTCAGAAATGCATTTGCTGTGTACCAGTCTGGAGCTGATAAACCACATGTTTGTTTTGGGCTCTTTCTAGTTGTTAACAGAATTATATAACTCTTTAGATCACTCGAACCAAATCCAAACCTCTGTATTTATCGGCTGCTTTCACACTCGTTCTGGTTTAGTCCTGGTTTATGCCAACGTGGACATGCTTTAAGTCTGTTCCCGTTTTACTTTTACTGCTAATTTTAGTCCTCGTTTTGACTTACTGAATGTCGACAAGACTCTGGTGCACTTTGGGGTTCGTACACTTCGTTCCGGGAGATGTAAGTGCGCTAAACAAGCACACCTGGGTTTACTTCACTCAGGAGAACTAAAACACTTGAACTAAATCCGTGATGTCTTGCTTATGAAGTGAACCATTCCATTCCAGTAGGTGTGAATGTGTTCATGTAATCTATCACAGAGAAAGAATCAAAGGTGCTCTTCTGATCACTGCTTTTATTTTCAAACTGTTTATTTCTGTTTATTTTGTGTCTATTGTGTACCTTTTTAATTGTTTTTATATTGTTTTAATTGGAAAACGTTTGAAAGAAAATTCGTACTCTACTACTATACTGTAAAAATCTTTGCGATGCTGACAAAATTACAATAAGCTACTTACTGTATACTTCTGTGTGTGTGTTTTTACCGTATTTACACTATGCTTCTCCGTCTCAGGTCGTTTCGTGCGTGTAGCGTGCGGACCTCCTTGTGTTCGCTGTTGGCCGGAGCTCTTCTGGAAGCCACGGCATCTCTCGGCTCTCGCTCCTCGCTGCCTCTGCCCTCGGCCAGTCCTCTGAGCGCCAACTGCCATGTTCTGAAAGGTTAGCACCGCCATGGTTCAGAGTAACGTTTTAATATGTGAACAAATTGATGGTAGAAGGTCTATGTTCACAAAAAACGTAATGGGAAAAAATAATGCATAGAGCCGTAACTGAATGGGAGCACACTACGTTACTGCAGGTTGTTGGACAGTCCCCACATACAATCAGTTAATTTGCCTTTCACCAAAATGTACCGTTCTCTTCATATAAGGCAGACTCTCTGTGCCCGGTGCTACACATGCGACCATTACTCAACGTCTTCCTCAAACTTAATCTCTTCTTGATTTTCATTGCAGATCATGTTCTGCGACATTAAAGCTGAAGCTAGCACTGGATTCATAGACGGTTTTAGACCAACTTTTTATTACTATCTGAAAGTTCTCTCACAAACTTGACTATGGAGTCAAGTATAACATCTTTGTAAGTCTGCTTTGATAAAGCTCCACATTTTAATGTCATAAATTTGTTGAAAAACAATTGGCTACATTGGAGTGAGTTTTTCTCATGAATTGACACATGAATTCCCCACGGCCCATTCATTAGTTCCTCATGAGTTCATTAAACATTTTCATGAGTTCATTAATGATGATCCATCCATCCATTTTCTTCCCCTTAATCCATTTCTGGGTTGGGGGGGTGTCATTCAGAGCTGCACCCAGTACACTTAGCACCAGCTCCTCACTGATCCTCCTGCAGGCGCTGAGTCCACAGGAGCCTTGATCTTCCAGCGGGGGCTTCAGGCAAAGTGGGGTTAAGTGTCTTGCCCAAGGACACAACAACAGCAGACATCAGTGGGAGTTGTGAAGTAGGTCTCATAGTGGGCTCGAACCCACAACCTTCAGGCCCAAAGGCCAATGCTCTACCAACTGAGCCACTGTCGCCCCCATATATGATGATAATCCTGTTGAAAGCACAAGCTCGTCATTACCATCATTTTCATTTTCAAATTCCGATAATATCTGTAATAACTATAAAAAAGAAACTATGCACCGTCTTCTATTTTCCGTTGCAGAAGGACTTGTGGTGATTCTCAGTATTCTCCTGTGGTTTTCTCTCTGCTCCCATCCTCTGTTGTTTTCCCACATGGTGCTCTGGACTCGATCCAATTGTTGGGCTTTTCTTTTTTTTTCTTTCTCTTTTATTTCCTCTTGTCATCTCGGCCTTTCAAAGCCGGACCCTGGCTCTGCTCGAGTGGCGCATCACACGAGTTGGTAACTTGTGTTTTAGCATCTGAAAGGGGCTCATATGCACTTCAAACAAGACTTCGACTCCTCGGAAACAAACATGTCTTAATCCATACAAAGGGCCGCGTAGGAAATGTCCATTATAGAGTGTCTCACTTACAAATCATTTTACATATTTACTCTGGAGGCTAAGAGATGCACATTCACTTAACATCATCCACTATATCCATTAGTTTAATGAGAAATCTAAGCTTAATATTTAAAATGGAAAAACCATTTAATGTGTATCAGAATAATCACTGACAATCTAAGTCTGTTGGTTCTGGTTTAAGTCCCTTGTGTTCGTATGTGACATGCAGTACATACTGTATCTGGTGCATGATGGTGCGCTGTAGTGTTACTGGAAACAAACTTTGTGTGTGTGTATGTATGTATGTATGTATGTATGTTTGTGCGTGTGCGCTTGCACATGTGTATGCGTGTGTGCGAAGACAGTGAAGAAGTGGGACATATTATATAAAATGGATGAATATAACATAATTCACTTGTGCTCAAGGCTAATTGGACCATTAAAAAAAAAATTGTTACTTCTACCTTGTGGCCTTGAGCCAATACAGATTTATATTTATAAAAATAACTGCTCTAAGAAGGATGAGGAACAAACATTATACTTGTCTTTTTATGTAAACCTCAGTCTCCCGGATACCCTGGATACATACTGTACATGTACATAACATACAGTAAGTGCATATTGTGCTCACATTTATGTATGGAGTACTTGAATGACAGCCTTGGCCTAAGTGGATATGACGCATGTAGCTGCTGAGGCCAAAGACAGAACTCACCACCTGAAGATTCTATGGTTTTGTCCTCTGACTCCCGTCTGTCCTCGTGGAGTGTGCTCTTCTACAGACAGATGTGATGTAGAAGGCTTCAAAGTCATCTCCTTTATGTTTTGTTGTTTTCTCTTGCTCCATGCACCTGTCGGAGCAGCACAGATGTGAGAATGTGTTGGTGCTTATTGTAAAGTGTGCATTGATGTTTTTCTTGGATTGTTAAGTGCCGCAATTGTGCTGAGGTCAAGAATATCTGTGATTTGGCGCGAGAGGGCGGGGGAGTAGCTCTGAAGAATAGAGGTTATGAATGTGGCTGTGTGGCATAAGCACAAAATCTGCACACTGCGTAACAATTGTGTAACCTCCCAATAAAGTAAATTTTTAGAGAAAAGGAGGAGATCCGAGGCACTCTTTGACGGTAAACACAAATCCTTTCATGAACAAGGAAGACAGATTTCCTCCTTTCTCTAACGTTACCAGTGTTTTTTCATTGCTGATCCTGAAAAAAATACGCTCTCATCTCTCTTGAACTTAAAGTATGTTTTTAGTTGAATTGAAACAGAATTGCGTTTCTTATTCATAATCATCACAGATTTCCAGAGAGGGACTGAAAAAGCATCCATAAAAAGTAAACATTATGTATCATTTCCCCACATACAAGCTTTGGCGCCTGTGGATTCTCACTGCTCTCTCTGACTGATCCTCCTTGATTGCCGCTAACCCTTATTCCCCTTAACCGTGCGACCGGAGCCGTCCGTGTGTCCAGTCCTCCCTGTGTGTTTTTGCGTCGCAGTGGGCCGGCCTGCCCGCTCCCCCATGTAGCGCACGGCTGCGAACTGTCTCTGGTGTCAGCGAGGAGAGGGAGGGCCTGTGCGGGGCGAGCGAGCGGTAATCCGAGCTCAATCAGGACGCCGAGCAAAGCGCAGCAGCACAAGTGACCGAAGCATGGGAGAGAGGGAGCGAGAGAGCGAGGGAGGGAGTGAGAGAGAGAGAGGCAGAGCTGTGTGAAAAGGAGCCTCCAATGTGGACCGCTGTAAGTGTTGTGGGACCATGAAGCACCGGATGGACTTAAAGCTGACCAGTGAGTAATCCATGTGAGTCGTCATTCAGAGCTGAGCTAGAGGGCTGTCAAACTTCAGCGCGCTTCACTTTTATACTTTTATTACTTATTTTATTGATGTCTCGTTTGTTTGACGTGGTAAATGTGTATTATAAATAAACAGAGCTAGAACTTGCACTGTAATGAAAGATTTCGTTGCGTTTCGTGGCTTTGTTTTGCCCAGAGCTGTATGTTTGTGATGTTTTCTTTTGGTGAAGTCAGCACTTTTTTCCGTCTGATAAATTACTGTGTTGCGGTCTTCCCGGTTGGAGATGGGAGCGAGTAACACCCAGGCCATTTTCAGTCCACAAACTTAGACAATATTGTGTTCAAATGAATTGAATTGAACGGATCCCAAGCACTTCATGTACCATGTAGATGTCTCTGTCAAACTTGGTCACGTTTTTTTCCAGATAAATTTGAGAATCATGCAACAATCGTCAGACATACCTGTTGGTTTTTACCGTTAAATGAGCTCATAATTATTCTCCTCCGAAACAAAGTAAGTGAATACAATGAAGCCGGTGGTCGTCATCGCTCAGACCAATCAATGTTTATTGCGTGAGGACGTCTGGGGGTATATAATCGGCCCACATACAATGTTCCAGAGTATTTCTGTTGGATTCTGGACATGTCATCCTCCCAGTCCGCCGCCACCCGCTCCGTGCACGAGCCGTAGCTGTTGCATTAAGCCGAAAAGGCCTTTGCTGTTTTAATCATACGCGAAAGAAGTCAGATGGATTTGATACGTTTATAGACCACTGGCAGTCGGTGACAAGTGAGTTCATTTGTGATGCACCTGTTTTTAAGTGGCCCACATTCTCCTCTCTGTGTGTGTGTGTGTGTGTGTGTGTGTGTGTGTGTGTGTACTCTTTGTCCTTTGCTAATGCATGCTTTAGTCGTAGCACAATAGTTGTATGGCTGTTTCGTTATTGACACCATAACCTTGTGTTTGACCAGTACTTTTAAATTGCTTGATAGAATGACACTACAAAAATGGGTTATAAAGATTCCCATAAAGACACTTAAAACACATTATTGTTGACATTTAAAAGGCCTTTTCATATTAGCTTAAAATACATGTTACTCCAATATTTTTGCGTGAATCAAAAATGTATCTGTTTTTCCTAATTTTACATGACATTTAATGCTTGTATGCTTTACCTTTTGACTGATTACCCTTTTTATTATGATTTGAAATACATACAAGACATTAAGTGGTTGTGCATGGGTTCATATGTATTAGGTGAGAGATTGTGATAATTGTATGTATTGTATGTGTGTATTGTGTGTCCTCTGATTTGTGACATGTGTTTAATTCAAGACAAAATGTGAGTCATCCGTCAAAGGGATGTCCAGGTTGTTGGGTTTGCGTGTTATGAGCAGGTAGCTTTACACAATGCGCCACGGCCGGACCACTGCGGAGTAAGGAATCGAGCATGAAATCCCCAAACAAGTGAACTCATGAATATGAATGAGCGATCTGTGCTCGGCCCACGTCTCCACGGGGGGTCCGCGATCACTCGAGCTGTAAAACATGCTCCAAGATTGACCATGTCTGTGGAAAATCTGTGTTCCATTTCACCGCCGCTATTTGTTACAGAGAGAAGGTCAATTCTTGCACAACCGCAATGATCACTCAAGCCTCGTCTGTGGATCAGCGAATAAGAGATGATTTTACTTAAAGCTGCGGCATTTATTTTATTTTATTTTTTTTAAATAGCGCACGTCTTTCATTGCAAGTGAAAGTTGAAAGTAAAATGTGAACGAATCGGAAACGTGTTGTCTTTTGCATACTTGCAAGAAAGAGCCCTGTGAGCTGATTGGCTGAGAGAGGGTGGTCCTTTTTGTTTACTTTTCTATCTAAAAAGCTGATCTAAAGATTTGACAGATGAGACCAAAACATTCTGAAAACTAGTGATAAGCCGGTTTGAGCCAAATGGATTTTATGACCGGGTCAGCTTTTTGTGCCTTCAAACTTAGATACCCCAGCTTTAAATATATTTGAAGGCTTTTAACCATAATAATAGTTTCCACACTCAATTTACCCACTTATACACTATCCCGACTAATAACTATAACGCACACAAGATTCATAGGTGGTAAATTGGGTAAAAAAAGTCCTCACTCAGCTCCTGGATTTTCCTTTGATTTGATTTTTAGCATTTTTTTAATTCCGATTTCCATTAAGCGCTTCTTAAACATTTCAGATATTTTGTCCTCACTACATTCCTTTATTTCATCAGTCAAAAATATTGTTAAATTATTCTGTTCGCCAACAAAAGCATAATTCATCGCCGTCTTCTTTAAATGATCAGAACTGTTTTCATGAGACTAGATTTGAAAATGTTGGTGCTTATAACAATCTGGGAACTTAAATACAGTTATTATTATCAATGTTATGAGAGAAAATGTCATGTTCAATAATTTCTGAAGACATTCTTGCCATCTCCCATCTTTTTGTTGAACATTTAACTTTTAATACATATCCCTGTCACAATAAATAATGTTGATGGATGATATATTGCTTCAGAAATGTCTCATCATAAACATAAGTATCAGATTTGCCACTGATGCCTCTGATCCCAGTGAAGACATTTTCTGATTTGTCTAATTAATAAAAAAATCAGAAACAAATAAACAGCAGAAGGAAGTAATACTTTTATCAACCCATCATCATGCACCAACAATACACCGACAATAAATATTGAAACCCAAATATATTTTTCATAAATATATATCAGTTATTGAACGAGGTGTCGGTATAGTCAGGAATACACTTCTGTCTTTTCTGCTCCCACGTTCTGGAGCTTCACGCTGACGCTGAAGGCCACATCCACAAATCAAAGTGTGAGCAAGTTTCATTTCTTGCGGCGGCCATTGGCGTTTCTATAGCGACCTGTTGCTCATCTGGAGGGTTACCAAGGACAACCTTCAAGTGTCTCTCGCTGCAGACGTGTCCAGCTGCAGTTTGTGAAGCGGCACAGAGACTCTTGACGCTGTGCAGCCCCCGCTTGTTGGAGATTTGCGCCTTTGCCATCATTTTTAATCTGTACTTAATAATAGAAAGCAGGAGAAACATGTTTTAAAGCTGAGAAACCTGTGCCAGATTGAGTAGATTTGTTACACTGCAAAAAATGATGAAAAATAAGTCAAAAATTGCTCAAATTTGGCAAAATGTATCTTAACTTGAGCACATGTAGGCTGCCTTAAAAGATTTGCTGATGGGACAAAGCAAAAGGATCTTGTTATGAAAATATATAAGAAATGTCTCCCTTGGAATCAGAAATTAAAGCAGTTCTTGAAATAATACTAAATATCTTGTCCCGACTCGAATTAAGACACATATTACCAAGTTTAAGCAATTCTTGACTTATTTTTCATCCCTTTTTGCAGTGTAGTGGCCAAATACATACGTTTCTCTCCAGGATCAGCCCAGGCGTCCTCTCTTATCTGTGAATTGGACTGGTTAGCTGTGATTTGCTTCTGTGTAGAGCGGGTGTGTAAACAGACTAATGAAGCCGAGTGGGATCCAAGGAGTGGAAGTGGAAGTGGCAGGTGATCAATGCCTTTTACCTCCTGTGGGCTTCTCTTTGGGAAGAAGAAGGAACAGTCTCTGCTCGCATTGTGTTTAGAGTTGGTAGAGATAGACGGTAGAAAGTTGGCTTCAAAATAGTGTTGCTACAGTAGCTTTCATCATTACCCGACGCCAAGCTGTGTATGCAATGTTTTATGAAGATGTGGGAAGATGATATTACTGAGTTGCCCCCCATCTGGAAGTATGAAGCATGACCTCATGGCATTCTCTAGTCTGAAAGTCATGGAATAGTGTTTAGGATTACTCGCAGAATGTGTGTTACTCTCACATAACCTACAGTCAGGAAAAGGATGCTGTAAAAATCAGAAAATCAACGGTTGTCTACGGCGACGGAGCTAATATGGGCTTTTTTGTTTAATATTTCTTTCCCAGAGCGGCAACTGGCCACCAGTATGACCAGCAGCTCTCTCCCTCCCAGCATCAGCGGCATCAGTAAAGAGCTCGCTGACCTGCGGCCGCTAGTGCAGTTTCCAGAGGAGATCGCGAGTATTCTCACTGAGCAGGAGCAGCAGCTGTACCAAAGGGTAAGTATTACTGTACATGACAAATATATACATTATTATTATTATTTGTCTCATTATGCATTTGTTACCATACCATTTCTTTCTATAACTGCAATTCAAAATCAAATCATATATCTCTCCACATCTTTTTGTTTGTTTGTTGTATGAATCTTGTTTTTGCAATATATTTACATCATGTACAACACAAAAAACAAGACATTTCTCATATGTGTTGCAGGTCTTTCCCTTGGACTACCTCTGCTTCCTCACTGGAGACCTGGGCAGTTCGGAGTACCAGACCAAACGCCACCCCAACCTCAAAGCCAGCCTGTCTGCGCCTGCCATGCCTTCCCAGAATGCCATGCGTGCCAATGGTGTGGAGGACCTGGTCGCACGCTTCAACGAGGTACAAACTTAAAACTCTCGCATCATTAAAACATGGAACCAAAACGACGCAGTGTGCAACGTCAGTTACTCTCAACCTTTTGATTACAACCTTGTGTGACTTTTTTGTTTATACTTTTTTAAGCAATGTTACCAAAATAATAGGACCGTCCATTCCAAGAGTATGGACAGTAGTTTCACAGTAGTTTTGTCATCACTGTGAATATTTGAACCCACAGAGCCAATGACTTAAAATATTCTTGCTCTAGACTTGCTCTAGACTGTCATACAGATTTATATACCACTTACCCTAGAATGAATGAATGAAGCTTTTATTACTGACTCATGGTCCAACATTGACACACACAAAAAAGGACAAAACATACAAGTTAAAAAGACAGAAGACAACTATACCAGTGCGCCCACATCCTCGACTGATAACAGGCTGCACTACAACGGATATCAACCAGTGACCCAACTAGTTCCTTGACAGACCTGTCCAATCGTCCAATGAAGCTGTGCATGAGCGCCCGCAGTTAACTCCTGCAGTGACAAACATCTCACTCGCTCTGGTCCATCTCGGCATCATTATAAGCCACCTGCAGCTTTTGCATCGATCCTTTTTTGTAGTTGGACCAGAGATGAGCGGTGTACAGCGGTGTACAGTAGGTCTTAAAGAGCCTTATCTTGACCTGGTCAGTGCAGAATACAAATCTGCGTGCCAGAGTATTGGCCTGAGCATATAGCATCCTACATTGTTTCTTAATGTCCTCATCATCAGATAGGTCCTCTGTGACTATATGCCCCAGGTATTTTATTTTGTTTGTGACAGTAAGTGAGTAAGTGACTAGAGCAGGCGTCTCCAACCTTTTTCAATTGGAGAGCTACTTTTTTTAGCAGTCATAATAAAATTCTATGTAAAAATTATGACAAGGGAGAGCACATATGGAGAACACATGTATAATATACTGTAATACTGTAAAACCCTATATTCATACTTATAATAGATATGCAATGACTCACAATGTATTTATTCAAGATCATGTGTTCAAATCTAAATCTTATGGGGAGCTACCTGAAAGGGGCTGGCGAGCTACTAGTAGATCCCGAGCCACAGAGCACAAGGTGACCCCTGCACAAGAGTTTTCAAGCTAAAAATAGAGATTGTGTTTTGTTTCTTAAAGTATAGAGTTGGGCTATTCTTAATATTGACTTGTGCTGTGTGCTCCGTATCCTACTGTTTTTGTGATCCAGCACTGACATTTCTCCACCGTGAGACAAATAAAGTATCCCTTAATCTTGATTCTATCGCGGCGGATACAGTCAGAGTGAAACGCTGATACGCTCTCCAGCAGTAGATTGACTGGGAATGATGATGTCATCTTTAAGTTGCGTGCCGTCCACATCAGCTGGTTTTCATTTGCGTCTGCGAAGGGGAAAGACACAGAGCACACTTTTACTAATGTGTGTGTAACCTTATATGGGCACGCTCAAACTGGAGGCAAATGATAGCGGCGCTGCTTTGAGGCGAAATAGTTTTAACATTTTATACCTCGTTGATGCCGCAGTATTTCGCACGATGGTTCAGATTATTATGAGTTACAGATCTGCGCATACTCCAGCTCTGTGGTAATGCGTTCCAGTTTCTCTAGACTTTTTAAGTGCCTCTTGTGGATGGCGTCACTTTTCCTGACTCCGAGCGGTCTTAAAGGATGCTCCGTCATGATTCTCGATGCTTGGTTGGTTTTTGATCAATTGCGCAAACACTCGACCCTTGTAGGGACATAAATTACTTCGTGATTAGAAGCGGCCTTTTGTATTTTTTGCATTAAGAGATTAGCTGTAAGTTTGAGTGACGTTTTTAGTTCCCTATCAACTCCAGTTATGTAACGCATGTATCAAGGAGAAACTCTTGGCTCGGTCCGACTCACGAACAGCGGAGGCAGACAGACGGGCAGATGGACAGACAGACGGGCACATCAAAGGCTATCGGCTTGTACCAGGCTCAAGATACATGTCTGCGTTTTAAAGTCTTGTCAAGCTTTTGTATTTTCTATTTCCACTCACTGCTTTTGATCACGGCCTCCTCTTCAACATTAACACTCCCTGTTGGTCCCTGTTGGTCCCCTGTGGCTCAGAGAATAGACTTTAAAACAGCTCTGCTTGTGTACAAGTCTCTCCATGGTCTCGCACCAAAATATATTGGTGACATGTTAGTCCCATATGAACCAGCCCGAACTCTGAGGAGCACAGGGACTAGACTCCTGTTAGTGCCCAGAGTCAGGACTAAACATAGGGAGGCTGCATTTCAGACTCTGCATGCAGATTCTGTTGGTCCCCTGTTGGTCTCTCTGTATATCTTTTGGACCCAGCTGGTCCCTATTGGTTCCATGTTGGTCCCTGTTTGTCTCTGTTGGTCCCCTGTTGGCTCTTTGTTGGTCCCTGTTGGTCCCTGTTGGTCCCCTGTTTGTCCCCTGTTTGTCCCCTGTTGGTTCCAGCTGGTCCCTGTTGGTCTTTGGTCTCCGTCGATCTTTGTTGGTCCCTGTTGGTCCCTGTTGGTCTGCGATGGTCTCTGCCACATAACACACACTCACAGACATGTCGTGTCTCTTGGATCTCAGAAGTGATGCCAACTGCGAGCAGCGCTTGATCCCGAGCGGTTGATAGAAGCCACTTTGCAGATGGTCGTCATGGTTTCAATGGTGACAGTAACTCAACCCAACGACCGAGCCAGCTCCGGGATCAAGGTCCACACAGACTTAAAGAAGAACTGTTTCTCACCTCGGATCCACAACACTACTGGACATTTAATTAATCAAACTGTATTAATTGGAAATCTATTGGAAAAGGTGATGGAAGACTTTGATATTATGGTTGATAGTTGAAATGACTCTTGATGGTTGATAGTTGAAATGATTCTTGATGGTTGATGTTTGAAATGATTCTTGATGGTTGATAATTGAAATGATTCTTGATGGTTGATAGTTGAAATGACTCTTGATGGTTGATAGTTGAAATGACTCTTGATGGTTGATAGTTGAAAGGATTCTTGATGGTTGATAGTTGATAGTTGAAATGACTCTTGATGGTTGATAGTTGAAATGATTCTTGATGGTTGATAGTTGAAATGATTCTTGATGGTTGATGTTTGAAATGACTCTTGATGGTTGATAGTTGAAATGATTCTTGATTTTTGAAATGATTCTTGATGGTTGAAATGACTCTTGATGGTTGATAGTTGAAATGATTCTTGATCGTTGATAGTTGAAATGACTCTTGATGGTTGATAGTTGAAATGATTCTTGATGGTTGATGTTTGAAATGATTCTTGATGGTTGATAGTTGAAATGACTCTTGATGGTTGATGTTTGAAATGACTATTGTTGGTTGATGTTTGAAATGATTCTTGATGGTTGATAATTGAAATGATTCTTGATGGTTGATAATTGAAATGACTCTTGATGGTTGATGTTTGAAATGACTATTGTTGGTTGATGTTTGAAATGATTCTTGATGGTTGATAATTGAAATGATTCTTGATGGTTGATGTTTGAAATGACTCTTGATGGTTGATAGTTGAAATGATTCTTGATAGTTGAAATGATTCTTGATAGTTGAAATGATTCTTGATGGTTGATAGTTGAAATGATTCTTGATGGTTGATAGTTGATATGACTCTTGATGGTTGATAGTTGAAATGATTCTTGATGGTTGATAGTTGAAATGATTCTCGATGGTTGATAGTTGAAATGATTCTCGATGGTTGCTATTTAAAATGATTCTTGATACTTGATAATTGAAATTATTCTTGATGGTTGATAATTGATATTTGAAATGATTCTTGATAGTTGAAATGATTCTTGATAGATGAAATTATAGTTGGTAGTTGAAATTATTCTTATTATTTGGCCACATATTTTATAAACAATCACTGTTTAATAACACTTCCCTTGAAAGTTGGAGTATCACAACACACTGTCTTTATCCTTTTAGAAAACATTTACACACACATTTACATCCTGAGAGCTGATTGGCTGAACGAGCGCTGGTCGTTTCTGTTCGATAAAGCTGATTCATTTTCGCGACAGAAGTCAAAAATCTAAAATACACCAAAACGTTTCGAGCCATAGGAACTTGTTATTACAGATGAGTTATGTGTATGTTTGGTCGTTCAGCTTAAATCTTCAACATTGCCACTTGTAAATAGACCGTTTTTGTTCCCCGCTGGGATTGTAGTTGCGTACATGCCACAGCTGTAGTTGTGGCCTGACATACCTGGGGACTTTGTCATATTGTCTGTGTCCTGTTGCACGCAGCACCTTTGTGTCTTTATTTAGTCACTGTTAAATTGGCTCCGGGGGTATCCTTACATAACACTGTAATAGATCTGGGCCGGGTGTTTAGAGGGGTAGGGGGTAGGGGGGTTGTTTTGAAGGCCACAAGAGGTTAGTGAGTTTTGAAGCTGTGTATTGAACAGCATGTTTGTTTTCACTGCAAAAATGTATACAATATGAGGTGATAATTACTTGAATCGAGTGGTTTTTATGTTAATTTGAACACAGTCTGACTTAAAACAAGATTTTCCAATGGGACATAGCTATTTGTCATTTTTTTTCTTATTCCAAGCAAAAAATGTCTTATTTTTTAAAAACATTTTCTTGTCAAAATGTGCTCAATTTAAGATACATTAAAACCAAATTAGAGCAATGTTTGGCTTCTTTTGATCACTTTCTGCAGTGTTGTCTGCAGAGGTCGGAAACGAGACTCCCCAAGTCTGGTGCAAAGGCCCCACGACCGAAAGTGATAAAGGAGGTGGCGTGACGTGTGCTGTGTTTGTGCTGGCTGGTGCGTGTTTGTGTTATAGTTTGTGTGCGCTCGAGGGCAGGCAGCACAGCGACAAAGCACAGCCGCGAGGTATCTGATCTCATTCTTTCTGGACTGTATCACCGAGCGGGAGGCGGGGAGCGGGAAACCAGGAGAGGGGAGAGGGGAGGGAGGGGAGAGTAGAGGGGAGGGAGGAGAGGGGAAAGGGGAGAGGGGAGAGGAGAGCGAGGAGAAGGGAACGAGGAGAGAGGAGAGGGAGGAAAGGGGAGAGGGGAGGGAGGGGAGAGTAGAGGGGAGGGAGGAGAGGGGAAAGGGGAGAGGAGAGCGAGGAAAGGGGAGAGGGGAGTGAGGGGAGAGGAGAGCGAGGAGAGGGGAGTGAGGGGAGGGAGGAGAGGGGAGCGAGGAGAAGGGAACGAGGAGAGAGGAGAGGGTGGAGAGGGGAGCAAGGAGAAGGGAACGAGGAGTGAGGAGAGGGTGGAGAGGGGAGCAAGGAGAAGGGAACGAGGAGAGGGGAGTGAGGGGAGGGAGGAGAGGGGAGAGGAGAGCGAGGAGAAGGGAACGAGGAGAGGGGAGTGAGGAGAGGGTGGAGAGGGAGGAGAGGGGAGCGAGGACACTTTTTGACACAGGTGCAGGTCCGAGAGCCACATGACTCCATTACATTCTGGAGGTGGATCGTGGCTGCAAACATTTGGGTCGTGCTTCAACTGTTTTACTTCCTGCTGCTGTCAGACTGTACGATGAACAATGAGTGACGAGCAAACTCTGCAGACCTGTCCTGACCTCACATGTCAGACATCTGTGCAATAATTTCAACTAATGTCAAAATGTGCAATATATATGTCCGCAGTCACTTTACGGAGTCACTTTGTCCCATTCTGCTGCTAACACGAACAGATGTAAACAGCTATAGTTTTCTTGCACCAGAATATACAGTATTTTATATTTGCGTCGTCATCATGCAGAAGATATTATACGTACAACTTCATACTTAAAGTCAGAGATTTTGTACTTAATTCTTGCTTCTTCATTATGCTACAGTAGAAGATTTTAGATTTGATTCCTTATCATGCTAAAGTAAGAGATTTTATTTTATCTTGTGTTGTGTGTGCTCCTTGTTGTTGACATTTATTTTTTATTTTTAGTTGTTGCCTTGTATTTAATGTTGTTATTTTTTTCCTGACTCTATTGTTTTTAGTACCGTGCTCAAAAAATAAACATCCATTCATTCACACTCCTCACTCCTACTGTCCTGTAACCGCTGCCGATGCAACACTGACATTTCCCCACAGTGGGACACAGACAGGACATCTTCATCTTCTTCTTTGCTGTGATTGTTCAGGTGAGTTCGTGGGTGACGTGGCTGGTGCTCACGGCCAGTTCCATGGAGGAGAAGAGGGAGGTTTTCTCATACCTGGTGCACGTGGCCAAGTCCTGCTGGAACATGGGCAACTACAATGGGGTCATGGAATTCCTCGCAGGGCTAAGGTATTACACTACAGCACGACTTACATAGGAATAATGAAAGTTAATAACATAGGGTTGCAAAAAATGGTAAAATATGAGGTAATAAATGCTTAAATCAAGAGCTTTTAATCTTAATTTGAGCACATTCTGACTGTCATTTAGTCTTATTTTGATAACTGCTTTTCATTCCAAGGGAGACATTTCTTGGATCTTTTTAGCAGACAATACTTTAGCTTTGTCCCGTTGGCAAATATTGTTTCTAAGGCAGTCAAAATGAGCTTTATGATAAATTTTACCAAGTTCGAGCAATTTTCAACCTATTTCTCGTAGGAGTGTGACGATATATTGATATGGTGATGTATCATGATACTTTCTCATGCAATTGATTATCAATATGCTTTTGCCAAGTATCAATAAAAAAAAAAAAAATATATATATATATATATATATATTTTTTAATTAGTAGTAATACTTAATATATGGCTACATTACGCATCTCGTAATAATCTGCTTTGACCTGAACACATCTCCATCTATCAGCTGACCCTGCTGCCATCAGACCATATGTGCTGTATTTGAATCCAGAGTTGAGAATTATTTAATAACTTACACTTATAACTATTTCGTATTTATTCAGATTGCTTTACTAAAAGATTTCTATAACAGTATATTTCTGACCAATGTATTGATAATCGTTATATCGTGACGAGCTTTGTATCACGAATCGTATCGTGAGTTACCCGGAGGTTCCCACCCCTAATTTCTCGTCACTTTTTGCAGTGCGGGGCCAAAATCACACTAACCCAACTTAAGCAGACTTTCAAACACATCCTTCACATTTCCGTCGCTCGGCAGGTCTCGCAAGGTCCTTAAGATGTGGCAGTTCATGGACCAGTCCGACATCGAGACCATGAGGAGCCTGAAGGACGCCATGGCGCAGCACGAGACGTCGGCCGAGTACAAGAAGGTGGTGACGAGGGCGCTCAATATACCAGGATGCAAGGTCAGCAGAGATCGGACTGTTCCTCCCTTTGAGTCATAAATCCAGACCGTTCTTCTTTGTCGATGTTAATCTTGAGCTTTTTAATCGGTCAATATTTGTTGCGATGGATCGTTTTGTCACAACCATGTTTCATTGCGTCTGTTTGAGGTTTTTATTGTTACTTTTCTCCCGTATTTATTACTTCCTGGAATGTGATGTGCTTTTTAAGGTGGTTCCGTTCTGTGGGGTTTTTCTGAAAGAGCTCAGTGACGCCTTAGACGGAACAGCAAGCATCATCAGCCTGAAGAGAGACAGCACGGAGGAGTCACTGGAGGTAAGAGAACCCATCACCGCTTTAGTTTATTATTTCATTAGATTTCAATTTTTTGCAATTATGTGTTTTACTTTATTTTAATATTTTTTATTTTGTCATTCTTTCAATTTTATTTATTTTAATTTGAATATATTTATGTTTATTATTTTTCAATTTTTTTCAATTTTTATTTTTACTTAATTTTAACGTTTTAATTTTGTATCATTAAAAAAAAAAAATGTTTGTTCTTTTTTTATTTTTTACTCTATTTTCATCTTTTTATTTTTTTGCTGTAATCTTTTCCTTTACATTGTAATTGATGCTTTGTAATGTTTTTGAATTATGCATTTTTGACCAATGGAATTCTAAAGGCAAAAACTCTAAAGTAGAAACCTCAGTGGGGAAATATCAGTGTCATTGTTGCGCACATTACACAAGAATCTATTGTAAGTAAGTGAAGGTTATTTGTATAGCGCCTTTTACAGACCAGTGTCACAAACATACAGATAATAATAACATGTACAGGAGAAATAAGAGTACTCTCTTATCGGAGGATTTTCTTCCGGGTGGATCCTATTGGTCCTCCCAAGTGTCAATCATTCTGGGGATACGTGCTCGTCCAATCAGACCAGATAGATTTGTTCAGAAAGTGGAGAGGGCGGTTATTTCTTAAAATTTTAGAAATCCTCCTTTGTACCTTTTTCAGATGTGTCTCTGCAGTGTTAGTGTTTTAGTAATGACTTTATTAGACGTTGGTGCAGGAGGTTTTGCTTTTGCCTGGTCTCATTTGTTTATTTTGTGTCCTCTGCACAGTTTGTGTCCGACTACAGCGGCCAACAGAACTTCATGTCTCGTTCCGGACCAGACGGACTCCACGTTCCAGAGAAAGAAGCAACCGTCAGCAACATCCTACAAATCATCCGGTATTTGTCGTGTTTCTATCGTTCTCATTCACAGCTTTTCTTAACAAAAGTCTCATGATGTCTCGTCTCTGACTGTTTGCAGATCGTGTAATCGGAGTTTGGAAGCAGAGGATCCGGATGACTCATCGATCAGCGGTTCTAGCGGTCCCTCTACGGCCTCCAGGAATAATTCTTTCAAGGACTACAACCGAAATCAGTACGTACATTTGCTTTGATTATATTTTCTACAACAAGATCCAACATTATATAATCCATCCATCTTCTTCCCCTTTGTCCATTTCTGGGTCAGGGGTGGGGTGTCTTGCCCAAGGACACCTTATAAAATCTAATCTATCATTATTGATTCTAATTTATCATGAAACACAGCTTTGTACATAGCTGTATTTCCTGTTTACATTTATATATTTACGGATTATACATTTTCTACATTATTTTCGAATGCTTGTTACTGTAAGACTTCCAAAAGTATCTGCCTCTTTTCTCCTCCCACTTTATTATTATTAATGTCCAAAAACACAGTTGACAAATGTCTTTCACGCTGCAGACCGGAGACTTTCGCCTGCTGTTCATCTTGTTTTTCTTAAAAGCCTGGTTAGTGTGTTTCTGATGTGGTTTGGCCATCAAGAGAGATTTTTCTTCTGAAGGAAGTTTGGAAGTGTTTGTGTTTCTTGGATGAAATGGCTCAGATTCAGATTCAGATTCAGATTCAGATTCAGATTCATTTATTTGTTTTTTTTCATTTGTTTTATTTTTGTCTTTTAATGTTGTTTTGTGTCTGTACTTGTCCTGTGCACACTGGGAACTCATACAAATGTATTCCAATGTGGTGTTACTGCAAATGGCATAATAAATGAATCTGAATCTGAATCTGAATCTGAATCTGGCTCATTCTGAAATGTTAAAGAAAGATAAAAGTTTAGGCCACTGGAAAGAAAGTCTGCATTTATAAAGCTGCTTCTACTATTTTCAGTTTTACACGAGTGACAGCAGGAAGGTCGAGGTCTGAGGATCAAAGGTTCATCAGGCATAAGAAAATAATAAATATATGAAGGAGCCAGACAAGTTCTAAACGAAGCATAAGTCACGTACAGTTGACATAGTTGTTTGGGCCACTCTCTCCATGAGCATAGTTCCACAATAGTTCCAGTTCATCTAGAACCCCAAACTGTGTCTTGTAAGTGGAAGCAGTTTCATAATCGCTAAAATTGTTAGATTAAAGCCAGATTTAGAATTCTATGGCATTTGATTAAGTACGCATTACTTTTTTTCTGTTTGTACATTTTGCAAAACTTTGGAAAGAGCTGGAAGAATGATGCACATGGATTTTTTCCCCCACAAAAATAACGGCGTATATTCTCGATCCAGATTCACGGTGGGAGAGTTGTCGGATTCCGAAAGCGACTTGTCCTCAGAGCCCGTGTCAAAGGACGGGGACTGTCAAAGCACTGAGGACGCACACAAAGCCTTCAACCACAACACGGAGCTCATCCCTTGGTAAGAATCATCCGTTTGTTCAAATACGACGCTAACGAAGCTTTCTAATGACTCCAGAGCGCCTCTCTCAGGTATGTGCTGTCCCTGCAACCCGACATCCACCAGTTCCTTCTCCAAGGAGCCACCGTGATCCATTACGAGCAGGACCTCACCAGCCGCTGCCTGCTGCGACTCCAGCCCGACAACGTCACTCTGACCTGGGGTAAGTATTTAGAAACAGGGGCGTCCAAACTTTTTAGTAAGAGGGCCGGGTTAGGTCACCAGACTTGTTCAGGGGCCGACAACATGGATTTAAAACCAGAATCACTTGTATAAACATATACAATTGAATGGAATCAAGAGGTTTTTAGATTTACTACAAGATATAACATTTCTCTATTGGCGCTGCTGAAGTTGGCTGGATGACACTCTGAACTTGTGTTTATTATAATCTCAATGGCACTTTGTGTGAGCCAGACAGAGGGCCACAAAAAATGACACATTGGGCCGCAGATGACCCTCAGGCCTTAGTTTGGGCATGCAGTAAAATTCTTAATACACAAGAACTGACTGTCATTTATATATTTTTCATGATTCCACAGTTAAAACCTCAGATCAACATTTCCAGCCGTAAACCGTTTCTGTAAACACAATGTTGGCCCCACGCCGTTTTTATATGTAGTGTGGACTTCTTGTAAAAGTGCTCAATTTCCTCCGCCTTTTACTGCCTCGCAAACATCTCATAAATGTGTTGAAATACGGCAGGTAAGCCTCCGAGCGGCGGGGGCTTTCTGGCCGAGCACCCCTCTGGATCGGGCCAGTCCGTTGCCGTGGGACTCACAGAAGGCCTCCTGGACCTGGCCGTTGTCAAGGTCAGTGATTGTTCGACGCACGAGAGAAAAAAAAAAATCCAAGTCCTGACAGAGAGCTGCAGTGACGGGGTTTGATTGTGTTCGCTGAATGTGCAGGCGGTGTTCATGGGGCATCAGGGCATCGACATCCAGGCCGTGTGCGTGCAGAACAAGCTGAGTCACATGACCGCGGAGGAGAATGGACTGAGCCTCCTCTACGGCCTTGGAACCACTGACAACAGGTCGGACACACACTCTATGTTGTAGTGATAATAATCTAGGGTTAGCGTGTGTGCAACTGATTTATCACGCCTGATTCACAATACCACTAAACAAAACTAACATTTGATCACCTTGTGGTTATTGGAATATGATTTAATACACATCAAACCCTAAATAAACAATGTTGTACGAATTGGCATCATTTCTGTGACAATTGGCTCATTTATTGTGATATTTTAAATGATTTAGTATTTATAGTTTGACTTTTTTGTTATACTATAAGGCGTCCTTCAGTGTTATAAAAGGTGCCATTACATGAATTATTATTATTATTAGTAATGATAATATCAGTGTGGTATCAAGGTTCAAACATTTCACATGTATGAACATATTTTACCGGATCCTGACTTGCTCAAAAATACACATTTTCTATAAATGTTTTCAACAAAATTCCCATAATATTAGATCTGTGGAAGTAAACATTTTAGTGCTGCCATTATTTAGCTCTAAAATTCTTAATATACATGATTTAGTTCTTATTTTCTACTGCAAAATCTATAAGGTGTTTGAAAGCATGAGGCCTAATATTTAGCGTTTATAATGACAGAAAAAATAATCTACTACTAATTAAAAAGTGCGTTGGAGAAATTAAGAAAATCTGTTCAGCAACTACAATCATTTCCCTCTTTCTGGTTTAATCTCATAATATTGATAAATGTCTCCGTCAGACTCCTGCACTTCATCGCCCCGAAGAACACGGCACAAATGATGTACAAAGGTTTGTGCGAGTTGGTGAACGCCATCCGGAAACTAAAGAAGTTTCCGGATCAGAGGCTGCAGTGGCTCCGGAGGCAGTACGTCAGTCTGTACCAGGTAAACTCCCTCTGCTAACGCCACTTTTACTCTGCTTCTGCTGCGTATCGATTCATGGAGGCTGAAAAATCGCGTACCTTTTCGACAGGAGGACGGCAGGCACGAAGGTCCGACTTTAGCCCAGGCCATTGAGCTGTTTGGGGGGAGGAGGTGGAACATGGGCACAGGAGGTGGAGTGGACAAAGCGGCGGCGCAGAAACACAGTCCTCTGGGAGCCAACGAAAAGACCAAGAAGAAGAAGAAGGCCTTGGTGCGGGTAAGTGCTGTTCTTCTCACACGTCGTCTGTCTCACTCTCTGCTCACGGCTCGACCTGAGGCTGAGCGGTGCGTCTCTTATCTCCATGTTGCTGCTCCTCGTAGGGAGACAGCGGAGACGCCACCGATGATGAAATGGTGTCCAGGAAAACTCGCAGCTGTAAGGAGGGACTGTATCGGAACGGGCCCGAGTCTGACGCAGTTGAACATGAAGATCCAGGTAATATTCACAAATACAAGCAGTAATCGTTATGTATACAGTAAACGCTGAAGCCCGAGTCCTGACTAGAACCAGGAAGTACATTAGTCCACTTCTCAGGTCTCTGCGCTGGCTCCTGTGGCTCAGAGAATAGACTTTAAAACAGCTTTCCATGGCCTCGCACCAAAGTACATCTGTGACATGTTAGTGCCATATGAACCTGCATGGATCCCAGGAGCACAGGGACTGGCCTCCTGCTGGAACTCAGAGGAGCACAGGGACTGGCCTCCTGCTGGAACTCTGAGGAGCACAGGGACTGGCCTCCTGCTGGGACTCAGAGTCAAGACTAGGCATGGACTATTCCAGATTTTAGCTGCATTTATCAGATTCAGAATCAGAATAATTGTTATTGCCATGTAAGTAACAAGAAGTCACAGACGAGGATATTGCTTTGGCTCTTGATGAAAACAAGTCAAAAGTAGAGACATTAACATAAACATTTCTATCTGGGACAATCTCCCTGAGGTTGTAAGACAGACCACACTCTTGGCCATTTTTAAGTCCAGGCTGAAAACTGTCTATTTTAGCTGTGCCTATGACACGTTTTTGAAGCATTTACAAAAAGCATGGATTTTATTGAATGTATTTTTGACTGTTTTAAATGAGAATGTACTAATCCTGGCTTTTGAAAAACTGCGTTACACTGTACACTGCTTTATAAACACGTGTGATGGATGGATGTGCTGAACCTCCATTCTCTCGCCCCACAGAGGATGGCTTTCCCGGACCGTTCCCCCTCTCGTCCGGTCGGAGTCCTGGGTTGTTGGTCTCATCTTCCTCCTCCTCCTCTTCCTCCAGTATGACCGGAGCCAACCAGTCCCGACCTCAGTCCTCCCCCATTCTCTCAGGGAGCACCAAGTCACAGCCTGGGTATGTGCGACGATTTCATAATCAAACTCGAATCTCCATGAATCTTAATGAGTCCTTCAGTCTGTTATATTTGTCTGGTGTTGTCAAAGTAGAGCGTGGAGCAGCAGGTCGTGGCACGGCCGAGGAAAAGGCTGCTTCAAAGGTTTCCAGAATCTGATGATTTCCGACAGCACCATGAGTTTCATTGAATTTGTGGAGCTTTTCAAATCCTTCAGGTGAGAACCCCTCAGTTCACTCTTTTCATATAGTGTAAGTACAAAAGCTCACATGTAAACTGGATTTATGAGTAGAAATATTGAAACCGAAACTTCACTCCCTCTCGTACCATTCAATTGTCTGTATCAACAAAATAAAACAAGAGTATCACTTGTTTTTCCAAAGCTATCAGGCCTGGGAGATTTACCAAAGGATCTTCAGTTAAACATTCAGCTTCTGTTTTCTCCGTCAGAGGAGGGAGAACGCTGCTCCTCGATAAGCAGCGGATCATTTTCATTCCAATCATTCTCCGTGTGTGAGATTGTATTGTGTTCTTCAGTTTGTTGCCTTTGGTAACAGTGATAATAAATGATAATGCTGTGTTTGTTATTTACACATCTTGGTGATAACGTTTCCTGTTTTGTTAATGGAAAAACAATATTTTTGTATGTGTCCCTTTCTATGTGTGTGTGTGTGTGTGTGTCTCTCTCTGTGTGTATGTCTCTCTCTCTCTGTCTCTGTGTGTGTGTCTCTTTCTGTGTGTGTGTGTTTCTCTCTCTGTGTGTGTGTCTCTCTGTGTATGTATGTGTGTGTGTCTCTTTCTGTGTGTGTGTGTGTCTCTCTCTCTGTGTCTGTGTGTGTGTGTCTCTCTCTGTGTCTCTGTGTGTGTGTGTGTCTCTCTCTCTGTGTGTGTGTGTCTCTGTGTCTCTGTGTGTGTGTCTCTCTCTCTGTATGTGTATGTCTCTCTCTCTCTCTGTGTGTGTATGTCTGTGTATGTCTGTGTGTGTCTGTGTGTCTCTCTCTCTGTGTGTGTATGTCTCTCTCTCTGTGTATGTATGTATGTGTGTGTCTCTCTCTGTGTGTCTCTGTGTGTGTGTGTGTGTCTCCTTCTCTGTGTGTGTGTCTCTCATTCTCTCTGCCTCCTGTGTGTGTGTGTGTGTCACTCTCTTGTTCTCTGTGTGTGTATCTCTCTCATCCTCTGTGTCTTTGTGTGTGTGTGTGTCTCTCTGTGCGTGTGTGTTTCTCTCACAATATTGTTGTTGTGTCCATAATAATGTATGTTTCCTCTCCGCAGCATCCGCAGCAGGAAGGACCTGAAAGAGCTGTTTGACACTTTTGCGATTCCCTGCAGTCGCTCAGGCCCCGAGTCTGCTCCTCTTTACACAAAGCTGAAGATAGACGACAAAGACAGCGGCACGCAGCCAGACCTCGGTACAATCTGCAGCTCCCACATGTTGATAATAAAGACAAACTCGTCCAAACAATGTCCCCTTTAACTCCTGCACTTCTTCGCCCGGACTCCCCAGATTTACTCACCAGAAACGGCTCGGATTTGGGTCTGTTTATCCGGACCAGGCAGCTCATGTCCGACAACCAGAAGCAGATCTCGGACGCCATCGCGGCCGCCAGCATCATGACCAACGGCACCGGGGTGGAGAACGCCTCCCTGGGGGTCCTGGGCCTCTCCATTCACCAGCTAAACGACTTTCTGGTGAACTGCCAGAAAGAGCACCTGAGCTACGATGAGATTCTCAACATCATTCAGGTCAGCGGAAATAAAATCAGCCTTTTTTTTTATCATCCCGCTGTGGGGAAAGTTCAGTGTCATCAACACACACAATACAGCAGAAGAAAAGGAGGACATAAGAGCAGTCTGATTGCACACATTAAATAAGATCTATTGTTTAGCATAATAGTTTAAGTTTAAGTTTGTGTAAGCAGGGGTTAGTCAAAGCAAAGAAGGTTTCCCACCCATCATCTGTACTTCTTAGCCAGGTTTCCCAATAAGAACCTGCTAAGAAGTACAGATGATGGGTGAGAAACCTTCCTTTGCAGTTTAAGTTTAAGTTTATTAAGGAAAACCCCTTGAGAGGAATCATCTCATTTTCGAGGGGGTCCTAAACATAAATACAAACATGTAAACATACACACACACATACTGTACACACAAACAATTTACAGCGAATTAAGGATGAGAAAAGATAATTACATCAACACACACACAAAAATAACAAAAAAAGAAACAAACCAAATGCTCCTTCGCACCCCACTCCTCCCTCTGCTAAAATTAAACATTTAGAAAGTAAAACTATCAACAATAATGACACATACAGAATACAGAACATTAGTGACATTAACAAGGAGTTTTAAGGAACCTAAATAATTCAAACTTAAATAAACCAACTTTCTTGATCCCTGTAGGAGAAATGCATCCATCCACACAAACATAACAATTGAATATATCATTCTAAAGCGGCTAACCATAGTCGTAGTATTAAAATGCAACAGCACTCTAGGTCACAGATGCAGAGGTGGTGTAGCCGCTGGGTGGGTAGATCATGGATAGTAAACTAAAATCATAGTATCATAAATGTATGTAACTTTAGTGGGTTAATGGTTCAAGTATAAATCACTTGGCCTGACTCTTGCCAGATCCATGTAGTTCGCTGCACTTCTCACATGAGTTTGGGACTCCTCCATAGCAGTTGGATTTCAGAAGGCGGGGCCTTCTAAAAAAATCAGTGTATGTGATTGGATAAACCACTTGTCCGTTATCTTGAATGACGTCTTCCTTCAACCACTCACATCGAAGCACATGCTCCCCTGGGTTGCCAAATGGCGGCAAGATTTTCCAGCCCAAAACCCGCGAGAATGCCCCAAAAAAACCACCCGGAATAATTTTTTGGCTACAAACGTTACGTAATCAACATGGCCTTTCTGTTTATTTATTACCTACAAGTCTCTTGAAGAAAAGTATGCGGGAAACCACCCAACCTGGCAACCCTGCTTCATAGTGTTGTAACAGGAACACAAATAGTACTTAAACCACACTTTACACAAACATTTGACTTTTAAAACACACATATAACATGAAACCATCAACATCTCGCCTGATATTGCATTAAAAGTGACATCCGTGTCTTAATTTTTAAACTTAAAAAAAAAATTGCGGACTTTATGTCCGCCATCTTGGATTGCTTTCGCTGCTGTTTGAGACACGCATGAGAAGGCGATGCAAACCCAACGTAACACCGGCGATCCTGATTGGTCAATTATTTTTTGATCTGCTGAAGGAGTTTGCAAAGCGCTCGATCCCAGACCCTTGTGTTCAGCGAGACGCCTCTGGTGGAGCATGTCGGAACTACAAGGGTCTGGCGAGAGTCAGGCTATAAATCACTAGTGGAGTAAACTCTGTCGTTTGCAGCATCAGAAGGTATTTACAGATTTAGCAGCTGAGATTATGACCAGAATAGACAATAGTAATAGTAGCAGCAGGTAAAGTGACTTGGTGAAGTATCAGAACAGAAATATCAGAGGAATGGAATATGTAATCGTGTCATAACTATAATAAACAATCATTATGGGGAATGGATTATTCAGCTACTTTTTCATTGCAGAGATTTGAACCCTCTGCGAGTATGAGACAGATGGGATGGATGTCGTTTGAAGGCTTTGCCAGGTATGTTTTAAAGAATGTTGCCAGGTATAAATTATCCTGTATATAGTTAAACTGAAGATGTATCTTTCCGCACATAGGTTTTTAATGGACAAGGATAACTTTGCTTCGAGAAACGAGGAGTCTCAGATAAATCCGGAGGAGCTGCAGTACCCTCTGTCGTACTATTACATCGAATCCTCTCACAACACGTACCTGACCGGACACCAGCTCAAAGGGGAGTCCTCGGTCGAGCTTTACAGTCAGGTGCGCAGCTCTGTCGGCTCAAGATCGGTTTTAACTTGTTTTGTCGTGACTTTGAAAGCGGTGGAGCTCACACAAAATGCCTCTCCAGGTCTTGCTGCAGGGCTGTCGGAGCGTGGAGCTGGACTGCTGGGACGGAGACGAGGGGATGCCAGTGATCTACCATGGCCACACCCTCACGACCAAGGTTCCTTTTAAGGTACGAAACCACTTCTTAAAGCTGGGGTTCCTTACTTTTTGTTTGTTTGTAATTAAGATAGTTTTAGGATAGATTTGTGTGTGTCTTAACTGTTGATTCTCTGATCTGTGTTGGTGATTTCAATGGTTTTATTAAGTCTTCTGAAGTGATTCTGTTGTGATTTAGGCAGTGTTGGGCACGTTACTTTGAAAAAGTAATTAGTTATAGTTACTAGTTACTTCTGAGTCTGAAATAGTGCCAATATTTCCATCTAGAAAAGGCTGTTTTGCTGCTGAAGTCCTGTTCACTCTTCATCTCTCACTGTGCTGTAAGCACTAAACATAAACACCCGCCACTGTGAATGTGGAAACACCGGTGAAGCACTGACATCAGCCCAATCAGATGAACATATTTATCATATAAATCAACTGGACAATTTGTTTGGCTACAGCAAAATATGTTTCATGGCCGCATTGTTTGTTCATACAAAACGCAAAACTATGAGTTATGGGTCTTACCTTATAAATGACCTGCACAGACCACTTCAGTTCAGACCAGTTCTGTGTTTAAGTCCAGATAATAGTTTGAGCGTAGATCTGTAATCCTCCATTTGGAAATAAGTTTTAAAAAGTAAAACAAAACGCTTGTGTCCTCCGCAAACTCCTCCGTTTTGCTAGGTGCAGCCGAGTGCATCCAATTTCTAAAATCAACAGTCTTACACTTCACCTCTCTTTCTTATCATTCCTATAGTCATTGAAAAATTACCGTAAGTGCATTTTAAATTATCTTAAAATGTGTTATATGTATGTTAGCCAAACCTGTTGCTGTCCTTAGCAGATAAACCAGGAAGAGAAAGGAGCTTTCTGATGGAATTGTATGCAGCCGACTTCTGCGCTCACATGCGCTCCTCTGAGGCTGACCTCACGGTGATACAAGCCGTGGTTGAGCGCGATTAAGACCCATATTTGTTTCAAAAACACAATTTATGACCATCCTCTCAACTGTAGACATGTAGATTGTAAAGGAAATATGTTTTACATCAGCCAATTATTGCTGAGAGGTTTTCTCATCCTCCCTTTTCTCATGACAACACGCGCACGAGTCCTATCACGAAGTAAAAAGAGAAGTTCATTGTGCGTCTTTAGTAACGCGCAGTAACGGGACGTCGGAAATGATAACGGCGTTATAGTTACAGTCAAAGTAATTAGTTAGATTACTCGTTACTGAAAAAAGTAACGGCGTTAGTAACGCCGTTACTAGTAACGCCGTTATTCCCATCACTGGATTTAGGGCTGTACAAGAATAAATTGTATTGTGTGTCCGTAGCAACAGGAAAAAGTAAAACGTAGTCAACAATCAGACAAAGACATGCAGTTTTCATATCAATAGAAAACATGTTAACCCCTTTTTTGAAAGTTGTTATTTCCATCTTGAAGGTATAAAGGAGGATTTCTACTTCCAGGTCGATCCTTAAGATTATTGGTCCTCCCAACTGTCAATCATTCTGATGATACTCGACAAATAAGACGAGAGAAAAAGTGTAGAGGGCGTTTCTTTCCTAAAAATTGTGAAAATCTTCCTATATATATATATATATATATATATATATATATATATATATATACCTTTAAATCTGTGGATTATTTATTCAAACAAACAATAGTATGGCACATCATTTTCTTGTTGCACGTGTTGTTTTTATTTGTTTGTTATTTAACTTTTATTTCACCAGCAAAGTCCCTCTTTTTCAAGGGAGTTCTGTACTAGAGGCAGTAAAAGTTACACACAGTTACACACAATTACAGATTATAAAAACAGTCTCAAGTGCTCTCAATTTGGATTTAAAAGCATTCAATTTATTAAGTTCAGTTATTTTCCAGTCTTTTTGGAGCTCGTACCTTTTTTCTTTTTTCCCAGTTCTGTGCAAAAGTAACCAAACAAACATCTCTGTGTGATGAAATGACAGCTGCACGAGGGTTTGTGTAACTGCGGTTTATGTATATCCTGCTCTTTTTCATCTAAACATGTTCTTTCGTCTTGTAGGATGTGGTGGAAGCGATAAGCCGCTCTGCGTTCGTCACCTCGGACATGCCGGTCGTTCTGTCCATAGAGAACCACTGCTCCCTGCCGCAGCAGCGCAAGATGGCTGAGCTCTTTAAGGTACTCCTAACCCTGACCCTAACCCCGGCTGTTTTCATTTCCAGACTGAGAATCCATTACTTAAGCAAAAAAAAACAGCTTGCTAAAATATGTGCGGCCTTCAGCAGGACTTTTATATCATCCAAACTTAATGGGCTTTTATCTGGTGGAGCTTCCTGATCTGCCAGTCTCCAAACGGAGCAGCGTGATAAAGAAAAGTCTTTCATCTCAGTCCGGCTCAGAGGCTCTGGACGTGCTCCTGTGTGGAAATACAAACACATTTCACTTCTACTTTGTGTGTAATGAGCTTTTTTATATCGCTAGTTCAGTTTGAAGTGACATTATTCTGTAATTAAGGTATTTTTTAAAGGAAAAATGATCACGTGCCACGAGTATCCTTTAATCCCTGATGCCTGATAAAACTCCATCACATTTCTGTCATTCTTAAACACAAGTGAAAAGTATTTTACTAGTTTTTCTCAGTATCAGTACTTTTTACTTCTATTTGCACAATCACTAGTTACTTTGGTGATGGCAACACAACAAAAAAACGAGTGTGAACGGGCTAGCCATGCTTCGAAGTTCAGATAACCATTCTCTAAGTTTTACATCTTTTCATTGTCTTGTTTTTTGCCAGTAGGAAACATTTTTACAGCGGTTTAATGTTATTAAAGAGTCTTAAAGGCACTGCTTACAGTTAAAGGGACTTTTTAAATACTTTTTACACTGGTATCTTTACTTTTACTTATAACTAGTACTTCTCCCACCTCTGATATTAAAGGAGCTGTACCCGTTTCTGCAAGGTTTGAATGTTTAGCACCGCCCCCAACTCGCTCACAGGCTTCTCATTTCATCTACGCTCTCATCATAGGTTTATTTGCGATCTGATACATACGCTAACTATAGCATTAGCTGTAGAGGCTAGAGGACGCAGCCTCGTTCTGTGATTGGAGGAGAGCGGGCGTCAAGTCTCTACTCAGCACTTTTTACAGCCTGAATTCATACACAGCTGAATCAATGAGCTCATGTTTTACATTAAATTACGTATTTTAATACAACTTGTATGTAGTAATAACCATTTTTATGAACTCATTAGAAAATAATTTGGGTATAGCTTCTTTAACATGTTATGAGAAGCTGTTTTATATTTCAGTGTCAAAAATGAAATTATCTTTTGAAATGTTTGTGGAAAGTGCCTTGAATCTGACCGTGGATCACGCACACACACACACGCGCGCACGCACACGCGCACACACACACACACACACACACACACACACACACGGTTATGAAAGATGACGTGGTCCAAAATAACTTTGCTGTATTTTTCCAAATCGCAGTCTGTGTTTGGAGATCGTCTCGTGACCCGTTTCCTTTTCGAGAGCGACTTCAGTGACGACCCCCATCTGCCGTCACCGTGGCAACTTCGGGGAAAGATCTTGCTGAAAAACAAGAAACTCAAAGCACACCAGGCGCCCGTGGACATCCTCAAGCAGAAGGTCGGACCAAACTGCCTCTCTGCACTGCAAAAAGTGATAATTTGAGCACATTTTGACTGCCTTAAAACAAGATTTGCCAATGGGACAAAGCAACATGATATTGTCTTTTAAAAAATACAAGAAAATAACGCTACAGTTCTTCAAATAAGACTAAATGGCTCTGTCCCATTTGCCCAATCTGGTTTTAAGACAGTCACAATGTACTCAAATTTAAAACTAGCCCTTATCACCTCATATAGTGTCAGTTTCTGCAGAGTGCCCACCTCTCCCTGTGCATAATTCATGTTCATTGTTATTAGCCTGTGCCGGCACTTTTGGATGGTATTGCTTCATGGAATATTTAGTGGTCTTCATAAAAGTGCTGTCAAACATTAATTATAAATGCTCCACTGCAGCACCATTTCCTCTCGGTTTACCGTGTTGCACTAACAAACCGTTCGGCCGTGTATACACTCAGGTGGGGAGTTGACAAAAGCACTTTGCGGACGTAGATTACAGATGATTCAGGTTCGACTCTAAACATCGGTGACTCTTTCCAGGCCCACCAGCTCGCCCACATGCAGGCGCAGGCCAATGGCTCGCTGGGCGTCACGTCGCCTGGCAACAACCCCAACGAGGAAGAGGAAGAAGAGGAGGATGAGTACGATTACGACTACGAGTCTCTTTCCGACGGTGAGGAACTGATGAGATACAGTGGGGCGAAAAAGTATTTAGTCAGTCACCAAAAGTTCTCCCACTTGAAAAGATGAGGGAGGCCTGTCATTTTCATCCTCAACTATGAGAGATCCAGAAAATCACATTGTCTGATTTTTAAAGAATTTTATCTGCAAATCATGGTGGAAAATAAGTATTTGGTCAAAAACAAAAGTTCATCTCAATACTTTGTTATACACCTGTTGTTGGCAATGACAGAGCAGAGCCAAAATACCAGCAACAGTGCGTGAATTCCTTGTGAAGACCCGCAAAGTTTTCACACACTGTTGCTGGTATTTTGGCCCATTCCTCCATGCAGATTGATACAGGTAACGAGTGGAGGACAGAGGAGCCTCTTAAAGGAGTCTGAGAGCCAGAGATCTTGTTTGTTTGTAGGTGACCAAATACTTATTGTTCACCATCATTTGCAAATAAATTCTTAAAAAATCAGACAATCTGATTTTCTGGATTATTTTTTCTCATTCTGTCTCTCACAGTTGGGGAACACCTATGATGAAAATTACAGATCTCCCTCATCCTTTTAAGAGCGAGATTTTGCACAATTGATTGCTGAACTAAATACTTTTTTGCCCCAGATAGAGATAAATTGTATATTTATAAATCCCAGTCATTCAGTTCTGAGCTGAATTTCCACTTTTCTATTCCTTTTCTGACGTTGACTCTTAAATGCCACTACTTTCTTCTTCTCCTTCGCCCAAATAGCCGACGTCCTTTCTGCCTCTACTGCCTCTTATGGCCTGGAAGGTAAATGCATGGCTTGACCTGGCTTTGTCACTCTGTGCTTGGTGCGTTCCGTCGCAACATCGAATGCGTCTGTTTACGAATCTATGTCTTGAGTGGCACGCCACAGACGCCACAGACGCCACATACACCACAGACGCCACAGACGCCACAGACGCCACAGACGCCACATACACCATAGACACCGTAGACACCTTCCAACCACAGACGCCACAGACGCCACAGACGCCACAGACGCCACAGACGCCACAGACGCCACAGACGCCATACAGACCCCATAGACACTATAAGCGGCTTGTCGTTGTGACCATGTGTGCTGTGAGGCCATTTGTTTTCAAGTGTGTTTAAAACGTGTCCGTGGCGTCACAGCAGCTGGCAGAGGCAATCTACACAAGAGGTCGATGTACACAGGTTGTTTCTGAAAATCTCATAATTGTAGATTTTGCACAAGACTTAAACATAGACAACAAACGACTCTCCCACATTAGTCTGTAGGTGTTTTTTAAAATCTCTTTTTAATGCTTATTTTACACTTCACACTTACCCTAAACAATAAAATCCACACACACACATATGTAATGGTTGAGAGACAGACAACCTTAAAAATCAAGACCACGCCAAGATTTGGAGTCTGAGTTTCTCTCACGCAAACACCACCTCCTGCTCTGCTCCTTTCTGACTGTATTTGTTTTGTGACCTCGCCGTGGCTGGGCAGACTCATCAGGGAAACAAAACAAAGCCATCTGGTTTCTCAGGCCCCGCGCTGCCCCTGCGTTCAAACAGAGACCAGGGGAAAGCACCAGGTCCCGGACCGATCCCACAGCAGATTGTCCCGATATGTTTACCATCCTCACCCCCAACCAGCATCGAGCTGGGAGAAGACACAAGCACATAGTTTTGTATTTGTAATCCCATCTGCTAAAATGGCATAATCTCACACAGAGAGAGAGAGAGAGAGACACACACACACAGCAAGAGAGAGAGACATAGAGAGACGCACACACACAGAGACTTAGAGAGGGAGAGAGACAGAGAGAGAGACTGGGAGAGACAGAGAGAGACCGAGAGACCGAGAGAGACAGAGAGAGAAACAGAGACAGACAGAGAGAGAAAGAGAGCGACACAGAGAGAGACAGAGAGAGAGACTGGGAGAGACAGAGAGAGAAAGAGAGCGACACAGAGAGAGAGAGAGAGAGAGAGAGAGAGAGAGAGAGAGAGAGAGACTTTGATCCCTATTCTCAGATACTGTTTAAAGCTGGATTCATTCTCTCAGGGCGTTGTTCTTAAAGTCGGGGTACCTAACTTCCAAACCACAAAAGATGTACTGTGTAATTAAATCCACTCATCACTAGTTTCCACACATGTTATTTTGTGTATGTTGTGTTTTCATTTGTTTACTTATATCAAACACGCACAAGATACACACAATTATGTACAACATTCTGGCACTAGAATACACAGTAAAACTTTTATACTTCATTATTATTATGTTCACTTCTCTTGTGCTGTGTGCTCCTCATTCCTACTGTTCTGTAACTTGTGATGCAACACTGGAATTTCCCCGCTGTGGGACGAATGAAGGATCTTAATCTTTCTCTTAAAACGGGTTGGTCGAATGCAAAAAGTCTCCAATGCAATTTAATGATGCACATGTTCTTATTCAATCTTAACACAAACAAGAACAATGGAAAGGATAATGTTATGGATGAATGAAAGCTGAAAGAAGTCACTCGTCCACAGATAACCTCCTGGACGACAAACCGGAGGGGAAGAGTCCCGCAGACAAAGAGGAGCATCCGGCCGACGAACTGCCCAAGAGGAAGAAGACGGACAGTTCAAGCCAGAGCAAAGGAAAGGTAATGTACGCTCCTGGTTTGTGTTTGTGGTTCTGTGATGTTTACTGTGGATTTGAAGAGTGTCCCATCGCTCGTGCTTGGTTTCTCCTGCAGGTGTTTGACATGGAGCTGGGGGAGGAGTTTCACCTGCCGCAGAATAAGAAGGAGAGTCGTCAGATCGCACAGGAGCTCTCGGATCTCATCATCTACTGCCAGGCCATCAAGTTTCCTGGTACAAGTTATTCTCTCTCTCCGTCTCTCCCTGTCCCTATCTCTGTGTCTTTCTTTCTCTATCTCTCTCTCTCTCTTTCTCTCTCTAAGTCTCTGTGTGTATGTGTCTCTCTCTCTCTTCCTGTCTCTCTCTGTATCTGTCTATTGTTTATTGAATGTTTGTGTGTTTTTTTTGTCTCTTTTGTTTTATATGGACCCTTTGTGTGTCTGAATTAAAGATTAAAATAAAAAAATAAAATAAATGTCTCCGTCTCTCTAAGTCTCTGTCTCTCTCTTCCTGTCTCTCTCTGTATCTGTCTCTGTCTCAAAGTCTCTGTCTCTCTCTCTCTCTCTGTCTTGCTCTCTCTCTCTCTCTCTCTCTCTCTCTCTCTCTCTGTCTTGCTCTCTCTCTCTCTCTCTCTCTCTCTGTCTTTCTCTAAGTCTCTGTGCGTATGTGTCTCTCTCTCTCGCTTTCTCTAAGTCTCTGTCTGTCTCTGTTCATCTCTCTCTCTCTTTCTCTCTATCTCTCTCCCTGTCTGTCTCTCTCTTTGTATCTGTCTCTCTCTCTCTCTGTCCCTGTCTGTCTCTCTCTCTCTGTCTTGCTCGCTCTCTCTGTCTCTGTCTCTCTCTCTCTCGCTCTGTCTTTCTCTAAGTCTCTCTGTGTGTGTCTCTCTATGTGTCTCTCTCGCTATGTGTATGTCTCTCTCTCTCTCTCTCTCTGTCTCTGTCTCTGTCTCTGTCTCTCTGTCTCTCTCTCTCTCTGTCTGTCTCTCTGTGAGATTTGACATGATAGTTTATCAGATGGGATTACAAATACAAAACCATACATATCAAAAGAGTAAAATGTTGGTGCTTGTCTTCCAGGTCTGTCCACTCTGTCTCCGACCGGCTCCAGTCGAGGGAAGGACCGCGGGAAGAGCAGGAAGTCCATATTTGGGACGGCTCCCACTCGCTGCAGCACGACAGGAGAGATGGTGTCCCAGAGCCGCTCCTCCGGGAAAGGTAGAAAAGGCCAAATCTGTACATGAACAATCTGGACTAGGAAAGGTGTCTGGAAATAAGAAAAAAAACCTTAAAAGTTTGAGCAGTGAGTTTTGAAGCTGTTTTTACTTTACTAAAATTATGAAATATTACTATCTTAAAACTAGTAAAATAATACTAAATACTAAAACAAACTACATTCAAGCCATTAGAAAAAAAAATCATGTTTTCCAGTGTGCTTTTACCTCCTCTGATCCCTGGTGTCTTTGCCGTTTCTCGCCTGTAGGTGGCAGTGAGCGCCTGAGCTGGGAGGAGCAGCAGACGTCACCTGTGCTCAACGCCCCCACCTCGCTGAGCGCCATCATCCGGACCCCAAAGTGCTACCACATCTCGTCCGTGAACGAGAACGCCGCCAAGCGTCTTTACCGGCGCTACTCTCAGAAGCTGATCCAGCACACGGTCTGCCAGCTGCTGAGGACGTACCCCGCCGCCACCAGGATCGACTCCACCAACCCCAACCCCCTGCTCTTCTGGCTGCACGGCATTCAGCTGGTGGCGCTCAATTACCAGACAGATGGTGAGGCCGCACGCCACGCCGCCTTTCACTCATTAGCTTTGAGAGTTTCAACTTCTCTGTGTTTGGAGCGTGAGAGCCCAAAGGCATTTCTCGCTACGACTTACAGTGAACATGGAAGTTTAGTTTAGGTTCATCTTCTCTTCTTTCTCTTATTTTACACTTCTATACCAGACAATAGTATTTTTTAGTTTAGGAAGATTAATTTGGTCTTCTTAGTAGTATTAAAAGTATTGTGTTCTTCTATACAGGACAATAGAGATATTATTACATGTTTCAATGGTAAACTTTCGTCCTCCTCAGAAGCATCAAGGTAACGGCATTGTCTGGTGTAGAAGAACCGAAGATGAACTTGGTACCTGGACGTCAATATGTATTAGACATTTTATTTATTTATTTATTCGGATCCCATTAGTTTCCTGTGGTTGCTGGTCCGGGGGCCGCTCCACACAGGATCAATCCACATTAAAACAGTTCAAACATGTTGTTTATGTAATGAAAAAAATGACAAAATGTGTCTTAACTTGAGCTGCCTCAAACATGATTTATCAATGGGACAAGCGAAAGGATCTTGTTTTTAAAAGATACAAGAAATCTCCTTTGCAATGAGGAATAACATTTCTTTGTCCTATTGGTAAATCCTGTTTTAAGACAATCAGAATGTGCTCAAATTAAGATGAAAAAAAAACCCACTTGATATGTTTGTATATATATGTATTTCCTCATATTTGATCCTTTTTGCAGTGTAGAGAGATTGAAATACACAATAACCCAAAACTGAATAAACTGTTTCTTTATCTCTCAAACGTCCATGCATTCTATGATCCATTTCCAACGTTATTCTTTGTTTTGGCGCCGCAGATTTACCGATGCAGCTCAACGTGGCGCTGTTCGAGGCCAACGGCGGCTGTGGGTACATTCTGAAGCCTCCTGTTCTGTGGGACCGCACCTGTCCTCTTTACCGCCACTTCTGTCCCATCGAGAGGGACGTGGACAAGATGACTCCTGCTCTGTTTTCAATCACAGTGAGTGAAGCGGAGCTAGAATATCTCCTTCAAACCGTGGCTGCAACACAACGGTCTGGACACACAACATCGGGGCTCATTACACACACTTTTACTGCAGTGTGTGGACCATGTGACCGTCGAGAAGCCACACACACAACTCAAAGGAAATACAACTGGTCGAGTAAAAGCCATTAGTGCTTTTCCCATCCAATATTTGGTGATTTTCTAATTTCTAATCAATCAATCATCAATCAAGGTTATTTATAAAGCAACAATACATGCGGTGCAACCCGAAGTGCGTCACAAAGACACGCAATCGTACACATTTACCAACATTATCAAACAAATGAGGTTAATCAATAAGGCAGAAAAACTATAACAAAACTGAATGTCCGATTTAAGATTCAAGAATGTGTTTGCCATTTGCAGTAAAACCACATTGGAAAAAGTGTGCAAGACCCCAGTGTGTGCCAGAGAGTACACATCAGAGCTCCTGCAATGGCTTCATGCCTCAAAATGTTTAAAAACTCAAAATATACGTATAAAACTTACGGATTTCCATTTGATCTGTAATATTTAAAGGAGCAGTATGTAAAAATCGGGCCAAAGTGGTACTGCGACCTCTCCCACTCTCCCTGACTCAGGTTGCCAGATATGCAGATAAATCCAGCTGGGACCATACTATTAAGAGTAATGGGTTCTTCTATACCAGACAATATAAGGTTTTGTGATGTTATTATTACACATCTCTCAATAATAACTGAATGAGTTTTGTCAATAACAAATCTATAACCAGCACTTGTCTCGGCTGAACTGCTGTTATTAGTTAAAGAAGTTATTGAAAAGAGCATGGTTTATAAATGCCTTTGACAGATTTGGGCCCTTTAACTCACCGACTGCCATTGACGTGTTCGTTTACTGGTGATTTCTGTCAAACTTGCCCGTGTGCGTCTGGGGATAACAGGAGAACAAAACTAGCTAGAAACCGACATATTTTTGCTGATGAAAGTAGACACTCCAGGCTTTCACAATCTGGTTTCATATTTCACATAGGCAAAGCACATAATATTCTGTGGGTCTTGAAAGTCAGTGAAATCATCAAAAACGTCTGGCTGTCAATGAGATAATGATAAATTGACATGAAAATCTTACATACTGCTCCTTTAAAACAACACATGTATAATCCATGTTTAAATCATGCAAAAGCTGCTGTTTTCTGTTCATCCTTTTGAGTATTTCCTGTTAATGAGCCCGTCCTGTGGTTGCCAGATCGTCTCGGGGCAGAACGTGTGTCCCGGGAACAGCTCGGGCAGCCCGTGTGTGGAGGTGGAGGTTCTGGGTCTGCCCGTCGACAGCTGCCACTTCAGAACCAAACCGATCCACCGCAACACGCTCAACCCCATGTGGAGCGAGCACTTCCAGTTCAGCGTCTACTTCGACGACCTGTGCTTCGTCCGGTTCTCGGTGGTGGAGAACAACAGCTCGCAGACCACGGCGCAGAGGACCCTGTCTCTGAAGGCGCTCAAGCTCGGTCAGAGACGCCCCACAGCTGTGACTAACGACGTTTGTAATCCCGACGTGAGTTTTTACCGTGTCCATGTGTTTCCAGGCTACAGACACGTGCAGCTCCGGACTCTGCACAACGAGGCTCTGGAAGTGTCCAGTTTATTCATCTTCAGCTCCAGGACAGAGGAGGTGTCCACACAGGGGGCTTCTCCTGCGTCTCTGGTTTGTGTTCTTTGATTATGCCCCAGGGCGACTACGGCCACTTCATGTCCACTGTGTATGAATGAGTAGTGTCGTGTGAAGCATCATAGAGTGACCGGGCTAGTGCCACACAAAACACATGCATTATTATTATTATTACTGTAGTAAAATGTTTATTAGATTTTACTTTTCAGATTTCATATATGTTACAGAACTTTCAAGCACAATCACTTTACTTTTTTATATATATTTCCCCTAACCCCCATTACCATGTGTGTGTTGTTCCCCCTCCAACACACACACACACACACACACACACACACACACACACACACACACACTTATAAACATTATGCATTATCATTATTATTATTTGTTTTAAACATAATTTATTTTATTTAACACCAAGAAAAAGGGTAACAGTTGAAGCAAACAAAAAACATATCCCTCTGCCTCCCGCACACCCTCCCTTCCTCCTGACCACCCTCCTGACCACCCTCCGCTCCACTCACCTTCTGAGTTGTCCTGCCGCAGGTTTTACCCAAAACTACTACCAGTATTTGTGTCCATGTAAAACTACACATAAGTACTTCCTTTTTAAGTTTTGAAAAAAAAACCTTTAAGAATATGTGTTATCATTATTATCGTTCTTATCGTTCTTTTCCTTCTGTACATATTTGACTCGTGTGTTGTTTGCAGCTCTTCAGTTCAGAGGAGAAGCGTCTGTTGGAGCAGCACACAGTGACGGTCCACGAGGCCCCGGGCCCCGAGCCGTTCTCTCTGTTCTCGGTGACTGAGCTCACCACGGCCCGGCAGCTGCTGGAGAAGGTGCGTCTGCTGCGCTCTGTCCTGACTCCTGTCCTGACTTCTGTCCTGACTTCTGTCCTGACTTCTGTCCTGACTCCGGTCCTGACTCCTGTCCTGACTCCTGTCCTGACTTCTGTCCTGACTTCTGTCCTGACTTCTGTCCTGACTTCTGTCCTGACTTCTGTCCTGACTCCGGTCCTGACTCCTGTCCTGACTCCTGTCCTGACTCCTGTCCTGAGTTCTGTCCTGACTCCTGTCCTGACTCCTGTCCTGCCTCCTGTCCTGACTCCTGTCCTGAGTTCTGTCCTGACCTCTGTACTGACTTCTGTACTGACTTCTGTCCTGACTTCTGTCGTTCTGACTCCAGTTGGTACAACGTGCCTCTTCTGCCGCAGGCGCTGCTCTGTGCGGAGGCGAGAGAGAGAGAACTTTGTGACTACGTCCTGTGTGAGGAGAAACTGCCTCTGTCCAAAGAGCGAGGGGCAGAAGTGAAGAGACCTGCTCAGACTCGGACTCTGGCCCCTGACGAGAAAGTCCTCCGTCTGGTGTGGAGCTGGAGCACAGACGAGGGGTGTGTGGGAAGACTCTGCCTGAAACTCAGAGACGAGGTACTTGCTGTTTTCATAGGATGACCCCCAAGTATTAGTGTCAGTATTAGCTTTACTGCTACTTTCCAACTGCAGTCCCGAGGCAGGGTGAAAAGGCCATCAGAAACTGCCTAAATATTGTATGACTACATTTATACATATTTTACTATTTTGTTTTTTAACCTGGAATAAACCTAAAATACTGTGGTTATCTCAGACTTATTCCAGTCCAGTTCCGACCGGGTGAGAACTAGCCTAGGTCTCCCCCTGCTGGTTGATGTAAAAATGCACCAAACTGTACCGTGATTGTGATAACAGAATTATTAAGGACTTTTCTGTTTTTCTTCAATTATTTTTTACAGAAAAATGTTGATGAGGCCCCAGCTGTAGACGGAGAGGAGGAGACGAGCAGCCGAGAGTCTGGAGAAGATCATATGTTCTTTGTCCAAGTCCATGAAGTGTCTCCAGAGCAGCCGCACACGGTCATCAAAGCTCCACGCTACAGCACTGCCCAGGACATCATCACACAAGTGAATAATCACACACACGCACGTGCACACATATGCACAAGCTCACACACACTCACACACACACACGCACACACATATACACACACAGACAGACTCACACACAGACACATACACAAGCACACACACTCACACACACACACGCACACACATATACATATACTGTACACACACAGACAGACTCACACAGACACACACACACATATACACACACACACAGACACACACTGATAACGCTGTGCTCTTCCAGACTCTGTCCAAGGCCAAGTACTCCTGCAGTATTCTGTCCAACCCAAACCCAGCGGACTATGTGCTGATGGAGGAGGTGACCAAGGACCTGAGTTCCTCAAAGAAGTCGTCTGGATCTAAAGCGGTGCAGAGAATGCTCCAGGACCAGGAGTGTGTGTACCATGTGCAGAGCCGGTGGCGCGGCGCTGGGAAGTTCATCCTAAAACTGAAGGAGCAGGTAGCTCTGACGGCCGTGTCCCAATGTAGAGAGAGACTTTTTATCGTCTGTGTATTTTGACTTTCTCAGCTTTGCTTGGTCTAATATTCTTGTAGCACTAACATGTTTTGTGTTTGTAATTTGCCTTTTTAACCTGTTTGCTTTTATGTCTAAACCTGCCCTATTGCTTGTCCTGCTGTCTGATGCTATGCCTTATTTATTTTTTAGCCTCCATGGAGGCATTAACACACAAGTGCTGCAACAAATAAATATGTATTTGATTCATGAAATGAGGAATGAGATATTTATTGATAGATTGTGAAGACTCGTCGTCTGGTAAGTAGCTGCATGATGAATGTCCGTCAGAGGGAAGTGACACTCAGATCTGACACTAACATGGCCTTGCATCTGACCAAACTCACCATGTTCCAGATGGTTCGCGAGGATAAGAAGAAAGGAATGTCGTTCGCCAGCGAGCTGAAGAAGCTGACGAGCCGCAGTCGCAGCATGACCACAGGCGGCACGGCAGACGGTCCGGCGCAGAGTAAGGACGAGAGAGCAGCATGCTGTGTGGCCCTGACTGAGCTCCAGGACTGACTCTGTCTGCTGCCTGTGCATGGAGCAGAGACAGAGGTAGAGAAATAACACTGCATCTGCCCCTAACACATGAACACATGACCACATGACCACATGACCACATGACCACATGAACACATGACCACATGAACACATGAACACATGAACACATGAACACATGAACACATGACCACATGAACACATGACCACATGACCACATGATCACATGAACACATGACCACATGACCACATGACCACATGAACACATGACCACATGAACACATGAACACATGAACACATGAACACATGACCACATGACCACATGAACACATGACCACATGAACACATGAACACATGAACACATGACCACATGAACACATGACCACATGACCACATGATCACATGAACACATGACCACATGAACACATGGGACCACATGAACACATGAACACATGAACACATGGACCACATGAACACATGGACCACATGAACACATGGACCACATGAACACATGAACACATGAACACATGGACCACATGAACACATGGACCACATGAACACATGGACCACATGAACACATGACCACATGGACCACATGGACCACATGAACACATGGACCACATGGAACACATGGACCACATGAACACATGGACCACATGAACAAATGACCACACGGACCACATGGAGCAGCTCTCATCAGACTCATTCTACTCAGAACTCATCGCTGGAAATCACAATCAGTGACTCACACTTTCATTGAAAATTCATTTTCATGGCAGTTAATGTATCTGTTGTCGTTAACTAGAAAGTATTTGTGTGTCCGTGTCCGTGTGTGTGTATGTGTGTCTGTGTGTGTCCGTGTATACATATACTCATATATATCTTCCCCCTCAGTATGTATAATTTCCTCATAGTAGCTCCGAGTGACTGTGGTCTCTCCTCAGGGTGTCTGTCTGCTGCAGTGGGGCTGAAGGCCTGGCTCACAGAGGGGAGGCTCAGGCAGAACTCCTCCAGTAAACTGCAGGAAAGCCCACTCCCACTGTCCACAGTGACCCCCGCGTCCTGGAAACTCCTCCTCCTCCGCAACTGGAAGGTCCACAAATGAAGCCAGAAGAGAGAGCGAACTGCGATCATTCAGTTGGAAGCATCAGCTCGTCTGGAGCAGAGCCTCAGAGACTACAGTCTGAGAACGAGACCCTCCTGGACCAGAACCTGGCGACGCTGGTAGAGGACCGAGGCTGAGAATCCACCCAGTAACAGTTTATGGAGGGGGCGGTGATGGAAACCCCACCAAACGTCACTTTAGAGCTGAGGCTCGTACGCAGAGCAGCTAAGAAGGGGTGGTTCTGGAGGAGCGCAGAGAAACTGAGGGACATGGGTCAAACTACAGCCACATGGAGGAAATACTGTTTTCTTGTTTTTCTTGAATTGTATGTGTAAATAATACTGTGCATTATTTACAAATAGCTCAGAAGCTAAACTGCTATAAACACTAAATACTCTGCATGAGTTAGAAGCTTCTAACACAGAATGTTGAGATGGAAGTAGACGAGCGGGCTTGTTTACTTTCACTTTGGATAATGTAGGAGTGAAATACGCACATCGGCAGGTCCAGGTCCAGGTCCAGGTCCAGGGACTAAAGTGTCCTTCCTGCTCTTTGTCCCATTAACATATTTTTCCTGTCATTGATTTGATTTATTGATTCATGTCATTTTATTTTACGTGGCCATTTCATTTCAAAACACCACAACTTCAATTGCTCCAATTTAAGTTGGAGTTAAGTGAAACGCCTCTGGTGGAGGATGGTGGAACTACAAGGATCTGGCCAGAGTCAGGTGTTCAGTTCAATAGTTACTGAAGCACCAGGGTCTGTGTGGATCATGTCTGTGGAGAGGCAAGCTCATACTTTATTCCAGTGTCTAAAACAAAAACCATAAATAACAAACACATTAGTTTTTGTGTATTGGCTGCAGGATTAGTAACATTGGTGTAAATGTGTGGTTCCTTGAAGTAGAGCTTTGAAAGAAACGTTCGACATAAATCACACCATGTGCAGTTTGAGGTCAGATGGTTCATCTCAGACACTGGTTCTTCCTCATGCTTTACTTTCAGAACATTCTAGAAGAGAGGTGTAGATCACGGCACATTAAGGTGCTTGTGTGCACTATTTACTTTCTTTGAAATATGAGCCTAGTTTTTGGTCATTTTGATGAGACTCTGGTTCAAACGTGGTCTCCTCTCATTCCACAATGAATTAGATTTGAAAAACTGCTATAATGTCGTCGGTTAGAGTTGGTTTTCCCTGGTTTAGCGTTGGCAGAATGGTTTCTTCATCTGGTGCATGTGGTGCTTTGGTCTGAAACGTTTTATGGTAAATAAGACTGATGTCAGAAGTGGATCTTCTCTGATCCTCAGTTTCTCTGCTGCACTGATGACAAACACTTCACCAGCATCAAATCATAAAGGGACATTTGTCATGTGACATCACTCCCTCCCTTGTTCCTTTTCGATCCTGCTTTTGATTGTACTGTGGTAAAAAAATGACAAACTGTTATTTATTTCAATGTGAAGCCCTGGTTGGCGTTTGTGTATATTTCCATGTCTGTTTTTATTTATTTCAACTATCCTCATTGTACTCATTTTCATGAATATTGTTTCGTGAGGTTTTATTTCTGAGGAACTGTTCCTGAGACTGTAGTAAATCCTCAAAGACTCACAGAACAGTCCGTTCCTGTGTTAACAAGGAATATTTACTTGAATTGAAGAATTGTATTTTGGTGAATGTCATGATTTACCACAAACATATTAAAAGATTTTAAGATTAGCATCTAAAGACTTTGTGCATGTGTTGAACACGTGGATGTCATTTACAGTGGCTCAACATTATTCCTTCCCCTTGAACTGTTTCACATTTTGTTTTTAAGTTTTTTCTTATTTTTTGTGTGAAATACCATCAAGAATAAACTGAGGTGGAGCCCGCAAGTTTTTCAGATCCCTTTTCTCCGAGTGCAACACATTTCCTTCAGACGCTTCCTGATCAATGATGAAAGGTCGACCCAACTGTAGTTTAGTGTTTTCCAGAGTGAAATCTAATCTCATTGTGTTCTGTGACGGTCTCGGAAGAACTCAGCAGAGGTCAGGGTCAAACAAACTTATCGAGTTTTGAACATCTCTCAGGGCACTGATGAATCTGTCGTCAGGAAATGGGAAGAGTATGACACAACTGCAAATCTACCAAGACCCAGCCGTCTGCCCAAACTAACAGCACTCAGTTTCTCTGTTTGGGCAGAGAAAAACAAGGTGGTGCAAGACGACCTCCCTGAGCTTCAAACATGGCCTTTCGTGAGCGGGAGCTTCTGCAGGTTTGGTAAAGTGACATTTTTATGTTTAATTTGGTCATTACAGACGAATGATGAGCCTGGGCCCTTTCTGAGCCGAGAGTAATCAACACAATGTTAGTGTGTGACCAGGCAAGATGTGTTTTTATGTCTTACTGTTAATGGCTCTTGCCTGTGGATGTGTGTTCTTGCCTAAATGACAAGGCCAAAGTGAAGACATTTAAGTTTTACAGATACATGTGGGTTAGAAAAGAACTGGACGGCGCCCTCTTTGTGAAGGGTCTGAGTTTGTGTATCCAGTGAGAAATAAATCCACCTGGTATGAGGCATTTTCCTCTGGTTCCAGCGCTTATGGTAGAAACACCTCATATTTAGAGGTTACATGGATAATTATGTTTAGTTTTATTGTAAATTGCAACATTTATGGCAATGGGCCTCGTTGTAAAACCTGCCTCTGGGTTTATGGATTTTCTGCTGATTCTGGAGTCGTTTATGAGCAGTTTCTTTATTTCCTGTAAAAACAAAGTGAAAGTCCTTTCTGCATCAGTGCAGCTCGGATGTTTAGTGTTGGAAAAACAAACCGGGCTCAGGTTTGCTGAGCGCCGCTTTACTGCTCTACAGCGTTCAACAATACAAGTTTTACCAAAACACAAGTTCTTTTCGTTGCTTTCATCCATTTAATCCAGAAACCTGTTCTCAATAAACTCAATCCATTGAATGAAATATTCTTTTATTTGAATAAAGTTTGTCAAGCACTTTGACAACAGTAAAAAGGCAGGTTTGAATGAACAATACAGGACGTGTCAATGCAAACAGATCCATACGCTGCAGGAGCTGCACCAGCCTCAAACCCAGTCTTTAAAGGGCCTTGGTAAATCCTTACATGTTCTCCTCGTGTTCCATAAATTCCATACAAAGTACAAATACTTTATAGCAAATATAGTGCGTCTAGTTGCCCAAACGTGATTTGAGTCTTAAAAATAAAATGCAACATTTGTTTTGTAAATGGCAAGCTTATTACAAATGGGGTAATATTTTGTATTTGATTCTTTCTGATCATGATAAATGTGATAAAAAAATCAATTTCAGAATATGATACCAAGTATGCAAGAGTTATTGTTTTCATCATAAATCAAGAGTTATTGGCCGGTCCATTACAGAACTTAAATATAAGTCAGTGTTGCCTCACGTGGAAAACCCCTTTGAACTCTTTGGCCTAAAGCTGATTGGCCCGAGAGCCGAGGACCAGCGGCCCCTGGCATCCCACGGCTCTGGTCCCGTCAGCGACTCTGGTCCCGTCAGCGACTCTGGTCCCGTCAGCGACTCTGGTCCCGTCAGCGACTCTGGTCAGTCAAGGGGCTCTGGTCCCGTCAGCGACTCTGGTCAGTCAAGGGGCTCTGGTCAGTCAAGGGGCTCTGGTCCGGTCCGTGGCTCAGAGTCAGAGTTTGGTCATGGGGATGTGCAGGTTGTTCCAGGGGCCCATCCACAGCTCCTCCTCGTCCGTCTGCGTTCGGTCCGAGGGACAGTCCAGCGGCTCCCTCATCAGCAGCCCGCCCTCGTCGCTGGTGTTACGCCCATCCACCTGCGACTCCCTCTCCCCCTCCCCCTCCTGCTGAGTCTGTGGCTGAGGCCCCTGCACCGCTTTCAGCAGGTTGGACTTGTTAGCGGCAGCGTCGTGGCCGGCGTTGCTGGTGCAGGTGGAGACTAAGGACACGCTGGAGTTTCTGGTGTTGAGAACATTCAGAGTCTGGTCCGTGTTGGAGAAGGAGGGCGTGGCCAGAGTAGAAGCCTTTCCCGAGCTCTGGAAGGTGCGCAGGATGGTGCAACCGCCGTCCACCGCTGTCCTTGGGGCGCCCAGCGGGATCCTCTCCTCCAGCGTGGCGGCCATTTTGTCTAATTTTTTAAAGTGCTTGGCGAGCCGCGAGCTGAAGACGGGGGAGACCGGGAGTTTAAGGTTATTGTTGGTTGATTGTGTGTTTGTGGCATTCACAGAGCGCCTGGTCCGGATTATAGATCCGTTCTGGGCCACGTAGACGCCGCCGTTGACGTTGGCGTGGCTGTTCGCCGTTGGCGCGGCTCGAGTTGGTTGCGTCCCTGGCAATGTGTCCTCTCCGGTCGAGCTAGTCTCGTATTCCCGATCCAACACCAGCTTGATCCGCCGCTTCCCCCTGCCCTGCTGAAAAGACAAACACAGATTATTCTTTGAGCTCAACATTTGTCAGAACAGCTCAGAAAAGTCCAACAAAAGCAAACTCAGGCCACTCCACAGGTTTGTGAGGAAAAGTTTCATGTACGACAACGACATCTTGAGTTCAATAAATACTATGATTGTGTTTTCTTGGACAGACATGTCCAAACTCAGGCTCGAGGGCCGTTTGCGGCCCTCTCTGTCGTTGTATGTGGCCCTCTGCCTTCCTCGCCCCAAAATACATTTAGATCATAAACACAATTTCATCCATCAAAGACAGACGTACAACAGAATTCAGCTGTTGTATATATTTGAATTCACAGACATGTCACAAATGTTCCATATATTGCACTAATGTAACTGGTGAGATTGTGCTTTATCATTCAGCCGACTTCAGCTCTGTCACAGCTAATTATAAAGCTCAGAACAGTCCGAATCCGGCCAAAAAAGTTTTACAATCCGGGTCATCGGCCCCAGGACAAGTCTGGTGAACTAAAACGGCCGTCTTATTAAATGTTTGGACACCCCTGCTGTAAAACAAAGTTTTTTTGTCTCTTTATTCAAGACTTAACACAATTGTCAAATGGCTTTAGATTTTGTAATTATACTATTCATTTTAGATGTGTGTTTGCAATATGTAAATTAAAAAGCATTTTACAATCTTAATAAGAGGTTAGAGCGATAACAAGAGGCTGAATGTGGAAAGGAAATGAAATGCTTTGAGACGAGAAGACGAATCGTGAATCATGTGAAAAAGGAGAAAAAGATCCACTCAGGAAATCACTGCATCATGATCCACTCCTTACTCAATTGGGCTAATCCGACGCTCCGATACCATCTCCTCAATCCTCATCCTGCCCGCTGCTCCTCTCCTCCTCGCTGTCCTCCATGATTGGCGACAGGTCGTCATGGTTACGCGGGGATTCCGCCTCCTCTGCCTCAGACCCGTCGCTCTCCTCCTCACTCTCGTCCGTGGAGAGGGAACGCCGTCTGGAAGTCTGGGGCCTGGACTTGGCACGTTTGCGTCGGGAGCTCTCTGACCCTCTGTCCGAGCTTTCCCCTTCGTCGCTGTCAGAGAGATCTTTCTCCGTGTCCGATTCTTCCGTCTCCGTCTTGGACACGCTGTCGTTTTCCGAGTTTTTGAAATTCCCGGCGTCTGTGGTAGAAGAACTGCTTGTATCTGAAAACTCGGACTCCTTCGACGCTTTCCTTTGTTCTTCCAGCTTCCCCCGTTCTTCCAAAGACCCACCGGACTTCCCGTCGGTCCCGACTCGTACCGCACTGCCGGGCCCCGGTGGGTTGTCCCAGTCCGGAGCTACAGCGGCTCCCTGGAGTCTCCTGCTCAGGCTGATAAGACTCAAGGCCTCGCTGAGCTGTTGTTTCGCTGGAGCCGCTTTATTGGCTTCGCTTGCGGTTTGGAAATAAGTCCCGTCTATGAGTATCCCATTCCCAACGCTGCCAGACCAGCTCGAAGAAGGCAAACCCGGGAGCTCTATTCTCCTCTGTTCTGACGTTGGTCCAAGTCCTCCGCCAAAGCCATTTCTCATCCCATTGTTTGGCATTCTTCTGTTCGCTCTCCCCGGCCCCGGCTCCGTCGCTGCTTCTCTTGTTTGTGCGCCGGCTGGATTTTCCGAGTCTCTGGTTGGTTTTTCCGGGCCAGACTTCCCCTTCCGCTCAGGGCCGACCCGGGCTTTGCTCCACGGCGGGTGCACGGCAGGTGGTTGTCCGCTGCCCTTGTTTGCCGACAAGGAGAACAGAGATCCCAGTTTCAACACGGACTTTAACTTTTCCATCGCACTTTTGGGCTTTGTTGGGATTTCTGAGGGAGATTTGGTGCCGTTCTTAGTTTGTGTGGGTTTTCCAGAAGAGCGGGATTGGGAGCGTTTGGAGTCGGAGGTTACTGTTCCTCCCTGCACCTGCCTCTTTACCTGTTGTCATAAAATGTATTATTTTTAAATATTTGAACGTGCTATTTTAACAAAACGAGGAGTCATAGATACAGCTGAGCCCATATGCTTTCTATGGTAACACAAACAACACTTTTTCACTCATCGTCTGTAGTTATGAGAAGTATTTTCTTATCAAATAAACATGTTTGCTTTCTCCCAATTAAACTGACGATGGAAACATACTTCTGACCCAGATCTGAAATCTCCATCCCCCAGTGCTCAATAGTATATTTCCCATAGACTGTGGAGCTTCCCCTTTAACAACAATGACAGCGGTAGTTGTGAAGGAGGTTCTGTATCTTCTCTGATGAGGACAAAAATCCTCCAGGACCTCTATATTCCTGGGCTGCCTTGCACAAACTGCAGCCTTGACATCTGCCCAAACTGGCTCAATGCTCTTAAACACGGGAACATGGGATTTTAAATTAAAAGTGAGTTATTAATGGCTGCACACAACCACTAACAATGATCCTAATCTTCTACATTTAACCCTTTAGTGTTCACTCTTTAAAGCAATGACAATTTTCTTTTATTTCTAAGATTGGCTTTGGTGACCCCCTAGTTTTTTTTTTAAAGTTTAGGCCTTTTTAGCAAATGGTTGAGATGCAGTTTGATGGTAAAAGTGCCTAAACCCAAGCGATAGAGATGCCCCAAAGAGGTAGATTTCAGTTCCAAGCTTCAAGTAGATACAGAGGCTCAAAAAGTGATCCACCAAATATTTGAGGACACCCTTATATAACATTGCGTGGGCGTCTCCTCAGTAAAAGTAAGAGTAGTTGGAGCAGTTTTTATACCTCGGTGTCAGACTCCTGGGGGCTGTAGTAGTAACTCCCATCTTCGTCCACGATCACTTCCCCGTACTCGTCGTAGGGCCCTGAAGGAGAGATCAGCTTCCTCCGGCTGCCGTACTCGAACCTGCACAAACACACGCACACTTTCACCTTTTCTGATTGAAAAGTGAGGAATGGAAAGAGAGAGAGCGAGACTTCAGACACAGTTATTCAGGGTTTCTGATGTATTCTCACGACTAGAACATTTCATATAAGAGTATGAAATATGAAATGTTTGTGACACCTGCTCGGAAGGTTCTTTCAATACGACGCAAATGTAAAGAAGCTGCTACGGCTTATAGTACGTTTTTATTTTTACGTTTTTGTTTTATTAAAAAAAACTCTCTAAGCTATAAAAGGGGAAAACAAATGCAACTGTACCTGGTAGTATATAATAATAATAAAAAATAAACATAATGATGGATTATACAATGTTATTTATATTTTAGGTCGTTGTTGTTGAAATAGTTGTGTTACTGACCAAGCTGCTAAAGTGTGTGTGTGTGCGTGTGTCTGTGTGTGTGTGTGTGTGTGTGATGATGGGGTGGGAGGTCATAGGTCATACGTCTTCCCACTCCATGTCAGGTCTCTGTAGCGAGGAAATATGTATCTATGTATTTATGTCAAACAACTGAATCCTGTATGAACCTGGAAATAAAAATAAATAAAAAAAGAAGACATAATACACTTTTTACATGTATTGTTTATTGATTCCATCCATTTTCTTCCCCTTTATCCATTTCTGGGTCAGGGGGTGGCAGTCAGAGCTGCACCCAGTACACAGAGCACCAGCCCCTCACTGATCCTCCTGCAGGTGCTGAGTCCACAGGAGGGCGGCTGCTCTATGGCATAGCCTTGATCTTGTAATGGGGGCTTCAGGCAAAGTGGGGTCTTGCCCAAGGACACAACAACAGCAGACATCAGTGGGAGTCTTGAAGTAGGTCTCATGGTGGGCTCGAACCTACGACCTTCAGGCTCAAAGGCCAATGCCAGTCGAGGTATTTACTGATTTTATGTTTTTAATTACTTGTGTGATTTTATTCTCTTCTTCCACACTTCTTCTTATCTTAATGTTTGTTTTCAATCATAGTTTTAATGTCTATGTAGATTTCGATGTTTATGATTTGCCTGATTAGATGGTAGTGGTGAGGCGCTTTGTGTTGCCTTGTGTAAGAAAGGCACTCAAATTAAAGTGATTGATTTGTTTTTCGAAATTCGATTATTCAGCTCTTTTCTTCATGCTGTTTCCCAACTTTAAGCTTTCATTTTTGTCAGAAAGAGTCTTGTAAGAGTGAAATGAAGTAAACAAACAGACCACAACAACCCGCTTTGGGGCTGAGAGTGAGGGTGGTTCTCTCTTTCTTTTGTTTTCGTCTGTGAAAAATTTGATCTAAAGCTGCGTCAGAGATCCAAAAATAAATGCATGTGGAAAAAGAGAAAGTTTTTTGAGAGCGAGAAACAATCTGTATTCTAGACATTTGTGTGGATCCACGGCTGAGACCAAACAGGACAAACGTCTCATTAGAAAGCCATAGTTTCAAACGCTTGCAGCAGGAGACGGTTGTTGGGAGCGTGGCTGAATGGACTGTGAAAGCCTTTGGTCTGGAGGCGCCAGTGGCCACAGCCGTATACACAGCCGCTCCAGGGTTACTCTGCCCTGGAGCTACACACTCTGACTGAACAGGTCGACAAGATCATCTTTTAAAGTGCGGCCAGGAAACAATATGTTCCTGTGTGATAAAAGCCACCGCTGTAGATGCTCCAGCCTTCAGAGAGGAGGAGGAGTGGAGGTGGGAGTAGAGAGAAGGAGGAAAGAGGAGGGGAGAGAGTAAGTAAGAGGAGAGAGAGGAGGTGAGAGTAGAGAGAGGAAGTGAGGAGGTGAGAGTGGAGAGGAGAAGGAGAGAGGGGGGAGATAGGAGGCGAGAGTAGAGAAGAGGAGGAGAAGGAGAGAGGATGTGAGAGTAGAAAGGGGGAGGGGAGAAAGGGAGTGAGAGGAGAGAAAGGAGTAGAGAGCAGAGAGAGGAGGTGAGAGTGGAGAGGAGAAGGAGAGAGAGTAGAGAGGAGGTGGAGGAGGAGAAGAGGAGAAGAGGAGAGAGGAAGAGGAGGAGGGAAAAGAGAACACAGCTGAAGTTGTTTAAGGAACTAATTTCTATCATTTTAGGTTTTATTTCATGAAACCTTCTCTTAGATTTGACCAAAAACTTGTTTTGATGATTTCAAATTAGATTTTTGGATTACAGTATTTGTCAGACTGCAGAGATGTCAGATTTGCATCAGCGATTACAAAACAGTAGGAATGAGGAGCACACAACACAAGATAAGTGAGCAATTACTCTGTACTAAAATATTATGTTAAAATAATATAAAATAACGTCTCTAACTTTCTCTAACATTATAAAGAAGCAAGTATAAAATGCTGTATGTTTCAGTGCAATAAATATATAGTTGTATGTTTACATCCGTGTTAGCAGCAGAGGCTCTGGGTAAAGTGGTTCTGTACATTCTGATCATAAAGCCAAATGAAACCTCAGATTACAGAGCGGTGCAGTGGGCGGCTAAAGACGGTACTTTTCCAGCTAATGTAACGAGCCTTCTGCTAAACCCACTTATAGCATTTCACAGTCATTACCCACGCTCACGCACACGCTCACGCACACGCTGACCACTTTCTCCATACGTGCTCTTCTGCTCACAACCACCAGGGGGCAGTAACGGTCCGGGAATGGCGCCTGGCCCTGCTGTGCTGTCCCCGCAGTCTGAACTGAAGGCTGTTTTCTGAGCTCTGTGTGAGGACTCAAATGGCCCAAATTGGGTCAGTGGCCTCTTTCTGTGGAGTCTCCAAATGTTAAATGATTATTTAATGAAGAGCCCCAGACCGGGAGATTATACAGCAGCAGTCGCGCACGCCTGGCTCATGGCACGCAGTATTGTAAGCCTTATTAGCTCCGAATTGTCCATATTAAACCCAATTTGTAATCCCCAAGATGAAATGTAATATTTAGTGATATTTATTTTTCAGTGATAGAGAACAGGGCAGTCAGTATGTGGTAGTATTACAGTATTTTCTATATGTCCAGTGATATTAGAAATGGAGTTAAAGCTGGGGTCCCTGACTTTTTTACCCTTTCATAACACATAACACTTCAACAAAAAACATGCTATCCTTTGCATAAATGTAAGAAAGAACCCCGGGAGTCACTGTTTGCCTCGTTGGGCTGTGATGAGAGGCTGAGTGAGAGAGGTCCTCCATTTGTCACTTTTCTGTCTGGAAAAAAATGATCCAAATATGTGACAAAGGCCAAAAATACTATGTGAAAACAAGAGATATAAGTTTATAGAGCAACTACTACATGGAGTTTAGTAGTAGTTGGCGTCACGGTGGCGGAGTCAATAGCACTCTCGCTTCTCAGCAAGAAGGTCCTGGGTTCGAATCCCGGTCAGAACAGGGCCTCTCTGAGTGGAGTTTGCATGTTCTCCCCGTGTCTGTGTAGGTTTCCTCCGGGTGCTCCGGTTTCCCCTACCACTAAAAACCTGCACAATGGTTTGAATGTAAATGAGAGAGTGAATGGAGGGTGTTGATTGGAGCTGATGGTCCAGTGTGTTCTGGACTCGCTTCTGTCATCACCGTGTGTGGAACGATTGGAACAATATCTGACTCTGAACATTGTAAAGTGCTTTGGGTGACCTTGGTCTGTAAAATGCGCTATATAAATAAACATTACATTACATTACAGCGGGGCTCACTCTGGCTTTGTGGTGATTCATGTAACGACTGGGTTCTCCTCAAAACAGTTTGGTTCTGTCACAAGTTTTCACACGTATCTTTCACCTCAGTTATGTCTGTACAGTTTATCAGTTTTTGCGGTGGACAGAGAGGACCACCCTGACTCAGCCAATCAGCTCTCGCCTTGTAAATAACGCTTTATAATAGAGGGTCCCTGGCTTTCACACCAGCGAGCACATTTCTCTCTCTGGTCTCTCAATCTCTCTCTGATTTATCTCTCTGGTCTCGCTTTGGTGTCTCTCTGGTCTCTCTCTGGTCTCTCTCTGGTCTCTCGCTCTGGTCTCGCTTTGGTCTCTCTCTGGTCTCTCTCTGGTCTCGCTCTCTGGTCTCGCTCTCTGGTCTCACTCTCTGGTCTCTCTCTGGTCTCTCTCTGGTCTCGCTTTGGTCTCGCTTTGGTCTCGCTTTGGTCTCTCTCTCTGGTCTCGCTCTCTGGTCTCGCTCTCTGGTCTCGCTCTGGTCTCGCTCTGGTCTCTCTCTCTGGTCTCTCTCTGGTCTCGCTCTCTGGTCTCGCTCTGGTCTCACTCTCTGGTCTCTCTCTGGTCTCGCTCTCTGGTCTCACTCTCTGGTCTCACTCTCTGGTCTCGCTCTCTGGTCTCGCTCTCTGGTCTCGCTCTCTGGTCTCGCTCTCTGGTCTCGCTCTCTGGTCTCTCTCTCTGGTCTCTCTCTCTGGTCTCTCTCTCTGGTCTCTCTCTCTGGTCTCGCTCTCTGGTCTCGCTCTCTGGTCTCGCTCTCTGGTCTCGCTCTCTGGTCTCGCTCTCTGGTCTCGCTCTCTGGTCTCGCTCTCTGGTCTCGCTCTCTGGTCTCGCTCTCTGGTCTCGCTCTCTGGTCTCGCTCTCTGGTCTCGCTCTCTGGTCTCGCTCTCTGGTCTCGCTCTCTGGTCTCGCTCTCTGGTCTCGCTCTCTGGTCTCGCTCTCTGGTCTCGCTCTCTGGTCTCGCTCTCTGGTCTCGCTCTGGTCTCGCTCTGGTCTCGCTCTGGTCTCGCTCTGGTCTCTCTCTTTGGTCTCTCTCTTTGGTCTCTCTCTTTGGTCTCTCTCTCTGGTCTCTCTCTTTGGTCTCTCTCTCTGGTCTCTCTCTGGTCTCTCTCTGGTCTCTCTCTGGTCTCTCTCTGGTCTCGCTCTGGTCTCGCTCTGGTCTCGCTCTGGTCTCGCTCTGGTCTCGCTCTGGTCTCGCTCTGGTCTCTCTCTCTGGTCTCTCTCTTGTCTGTTACGAATGGTACGATCCGATCTGATTTCTTGACAAATTGTTACTCAAACAACACTCTTTCTGTTGGGTCAAACATAACTGTATATTTATGAAAAAAT